GAATTAGTTTGTGGAGCCACTGCACCAGCCCCATGAAATAAATTCTTTTCCTTCACAGAAATGGTGTCCAAAGTTGTCAGAGTTTCAAAGCAACCGTTCTTTTAGTCCTGAGTGCTCAGCATGAATGTTTTTTACGTATTACTCACGCTTACTCTGCCTTATCCCTGATTGAACTGATGTGACGCAGCAGGTTGGGGAGTGCAGCTTTTATACCATGAAATTTGTGAAAACTTACATACCTGTTGGACCACTTGCCATGTATGTTTTTGTTACAGAATTTGCTATATGCATTTCTTTTGCATATGTAGTATAAATAATAACAGAACAGCTGTCAACCATCAGCCCTTTCAGAAATGGTGAATATAGCTTTGGGGGCTTTTTGTGAACTCCTTTTTGTATCTGTCTTCCACCCGTCCGCAGTAACTATTTTAAGTTTTGTTAAGTGTTTTTTCACAGTATTATATATGCATATTATGCATATATGAGTACAATTTTTTAGTTTTGGCCTCATGAATATTAATTAGCTCATTTGTAAATCTTCTGTGACTTTTTATTGCTTTACATTATGATGACTTAAACAATTATTTGAGTGACAGAAACAGGGAGAGAGCAGCAGCCTACATCCTCTGTTTTACTGCCCATTTACCTGCAAAACTGCAGACCAGGATGAAGCCAGAATTAGAAACTCCAGTATGGGCGGCAGAACTGCTCCCAGCTGAGCCCTCACCCGCTGGCTCCCGGCTGGCTCCTCCCTCACCCGCTGGCTCCCAGCTGAGCCCTCACCTGCTGGCTCCCGGCTGGGTCCTCCCTCACCTGCTGGCTCCCGGCTGGGCCCTCCCTCACCCGCTGGCTCCTGGCTGGGCCCTCACCTGCTGGCTCCCGGCTGAGCCCTCACCCTCTGGCTCCTAGCACAGGCACTGGCAGGAAGCTGGAGTCGGGGTGGAGCCAGGACAGGAACCTGGACTCTATGGTGGGAGTCAGTCTTCCCAAGTACTGACTTTATGGCTCAGCCAAACACCTGCCTTAGTAGGTGTTGTTGTTTTTTTAAGATTTATGTATTTATTTAGAAAGGCAGATTTACAGAGAAGGAGAGATCTGTTGGTTCACTCCCCAAATGGCTGCATTGGCTGTAGCTAAGCCAATATAAAGCCAGGAACCAGGAGCCTCTTCCAGGTCTCCTGCATGAGTGCAGGGTCCCAAGTGCATGGTCCATCCTTTACTGCTTTCACAGGCCACAAATGGACCTGGATGGGAAGCGGAGCAGCAAGGACATGAACCTGGGCCCAAATGGGATGCTAGTGCCTTCAGGCAGAGGGTTAGGCGTTTAGGCCATTGAAGCGGTCTGTTGGTTTGTTTTTACCGCAGTAACGCATGCCAGTGTGTGAACCATGCCACACCAGGCTCAGGCAGTTGCCCTGACTGCTGCGTGTCGGAGTGCGCATTAACAGGAAGCTGCAAGCAGGAGGGAGCAGACCGGAAATACAGGTGTCTTCACCAGCGCCCAAAGTGCTAGGCCAGATGCTCGTCCCTGGGCTGTACCTTACATGCAAATGTGTGTGTGTGTGTGTGTGTGTGAGGGGGGGGGGAGAAGGAGGGGGAGGGAGAGAGAGAGGGAGAGGGAAGGGGAGAGGGAAGGGGAAGGAGAGAGGGAGGGGGAGGGAGTAGGGAGAGGGGGAGAGAGGGAGAGAGAGAGGGAGGGAGAGAGGGAGAGAGAGGGAGGGGGAGGGAGAGAGGGAAAGAAGGGGGAGAGAGAGATGTATTTTTTTTTGCTTATGTATTCATTCGAAATTTAGTTAGCTTCCTTTTGTTTAATATGGCTGTTTGGTTGTCAGGACATAAATACTTATTTACTTCTTTGGACCTGACTGCTTAGTAAATGGAGCTATTGATTTTTTTTTTTTAGTCTTGTATGCTATATTAAGTTACCCATTGCTGTGCAACAAATTACCCACAAAATTTGGCAGTTAAGAAACAATTAAGCCTTTATTATTCACACTGTTTCTGAGGGTGAAGAATCAAACAGTGGTGTAGCAAGAAGTGGCTCTGGCTGGGTGTCTGCTCTGAGAGGCTGTGGGTGGGTGCTCTGAGGGGCTCCAGCTGGGTGCTCTGAGGGGCTCCAGCTGGGTGCTCTGAGAGGCTCCGGGTGGGTGCTCTGAGAGGCTCCGGCTGGGTGCTCTGAGAGGCTCCGGCTGGGTGCTCTGAGAGGCTCTGGGTGGGTGCTCTGAGAGCCTCTGGGTGGGTGCTCTGAGAGGCTCTGGCTGGGTGCTCGAGGGGCTCCATCTGGGTGCTCTGAGAGGCTGTGGGTGGGTGCTCTGAGGGGCTCTGGGTGGGTGCTCTGAGAGGCTCCGGCTGGGTGCTCTGAGAGGCTCCAGCTGGGTGCTCTGAGAGGCTGTGGGTGGGTGCTCTGAGGGGCTCTGGGTGGGTGCTCTGAGGGGCTCCTGTTGGGTGCTCTGAAGGGCTCTGGCTGGGTGCTCTGAGGGGCTGCGGGTGCCTGCTTGGGTGTGGCCATAGTCTAGCCATGTGATTTGAAGGTTGCTTGGCTTGGTAGGACTCACTCCGTCCGTTTGGTAGGAGACGTGGCAGGAGGCAGAGTTGCCCACCAGCTGGCCTGTCTGCAGGTGGGTGGTATCCTCAGGACTTGGTAGCTGCCTTCCTCCCCTGGCTAAGGAGCAACAAGAGCTGCTGAGGCCTTCTGACCTAGCCTGAGGCTTGTTCGATTCTCAGCCTTCTCTCTCCTGTGGCTCTCTGTCTTCAGAGTCATCTCTGTCATCCATTGCAAAGTTCATCTAGGGATTGAATGGTTAATGATGTTGATCAGTTTTTCTTGTTTGTTTTCCTACGTGTTCTTTGATGAAGGTTTGTTCAAAGGATTTGTCTATTTTTAAACTTGTTTATTTTCTTATTGTCGAATTGTAGAGGTTCTTCATGTTTTGTGGACGTCTCTTATCAGGTATGATTTGCAGATACTTTTTGTTTCTTTCTCCTTCCCTCTCTTCTTCCCCCTTCCTTCCTGCCCGCCTTCCTATTTCTTTGAAGGATAGCTTCTTTTCTGCCTTTTTGTCTGTCTTTGCAAGGCTGGGGCAGGTCCACGCCTGGAGCCTGCAGCTCTGTCTGGGTCTCCATGTGCTTAGCAGGGACCCAGGTGCTTGGCATCATCAGCTGCTACGCAGGCATCTCGACAATGAGCTTGAATAGAACTGGCGCAGCTGAGACTCAAACTGACATGTGCTAGGAGACGCTCTGACAGCGCCTCTTGCCACAGGTAATGCCTTAGCCCGAGGAGCCACTGCACCAGCCCTGCACATGTGCCTTAACATCCCTGCCCTCCATGTCCCACCTGCACCACCCTGCTCCCCTCCCCACTGCCACAGCCTTCTGTCTGTCCCCAAATTAGAAGCAGTCATCGGTGTGACGCTAACTCTGTGTCAGTCGGAGACCGTCTTCTTATGTTTCCTCTTGTGAAATGCAGATCAGTTTTCTTTATATTATTCTGTGTCTTAAAACTCTAATACACCCCCCACATCCCCAGAATATAATTTAGACTTCTTTTTAAAGATGCACCTCATTCCCTTACCTCCTGAAACTTGACGGACCTTGTAGCACACTTTGAGAAAATGTGAAGGAGACAAACCGCAGTCTGTAAACAAGACCTGTTGACACTGTGACGTGGGGCGCGCACCTTGCTCCTGCTGCAGCTCAGCAAGTCAGTCCCGGCTGAGCCTGCTCCTGCTGCAGCTCAGCAAGTCAGTCCCGGCTGAGCCTGCTCCTGCTGCAGTTCAGCAAGTCGGTCCCGGCTGAGCCTGCTCCTCGAGGCTGCAGCTCAGCAAGTCAGTCCGGCTGAGCCTGCTCCTGCTGCAGCTCAGCAAGTCGGTCCCGGCTGAGCCTGCTCCTGCAGCCCATGCTCTGCCCATGGCCGGGCTGAGGGGATACGCGTGCAGCAGCTGCTGTCCTAGTCCCAGGACATGTACTCCAAGTACACGAGGTCACAGTATAGCCACAGTGCACGCTGAACACATCAGCATGAGCAGTTCATGTCCTTTGCCTGTTTTTTAAGACTTGTTTATTTTTATTGAAAAAGCAAATCAGATTTACAAAGAGAAAGAAAGATCTTCCATCTGCTGGTTCACTTCCCAGAAGGCTGCAGTGCCCAGAGTCGAGTGAATCTGAAGCCAGGAGCCTCCTCCATGTCTCCCATGTGGCTGTGCATGGTCCCAAGGGCTGTCCTCGTCCTCTACTGCTTTCCCAGGCCATGGGCAGGGAGCAGAAGGAAAGTGGAGTAGCTGGGACATCCATAGGGCACCCATAGGGGATCCTGGCACTTGCACGTGGAGAATTAGCCATTGAGCCATCGTGCCAGGCCTTCTTTACCTATTTTTATATTGAATCAATCATCTTTCTGTTGTAAGAGCTTTTTATTTATTTATTTTTAAGTTATTTTTATTGGAAAGGCAGATATACAGAGAGGAGGAGAGACAGAGAGGAAGGTCTTCTGTCCAATGGTTTACTCCCCAAGCTGCCACAATGGCTGGAGCTACGCTGATCCAAAGCCAGGAGCAAGGAGTTTCTTTCAAGTCTCCCACACAGATGCAGGGTCCCAAAGCTTTGAGCCATCCTCAACTGCTTTCCCAGCCACAGGCAGGGAGCTGCATGAGAAGCGGGGCTGCTGGGATTAGAACTGGCATTCATATAGGATCCCTGCATTCAAGCCAGGACCTTAACCTCTACATTAGGCTATCATGCAGGGCCCTGTAAGAGCTATTTAAATATGCAGTACTGTCAAAAGTATGATTTGCTAGCTTTTTTTGTAATTTTGATCTTGATAATATCCTTTTATACCATAGCTTGAATTTTGCTAAAATCCTCTATATCTTGTTGCTTATTCTGTGGCTATACTGTAATCTAACGTGAACATACTGTTATGATCCATTGCCAAATCTCAAAGCATGAAGATTTACTTACATGTTTGAGTTACGCATTGTCAGTGCTTGTGTTAAGATGCTGGTCTCAGTGAGTTGATGGCTTAATTTTGATTCATTTAGAGTTAGTTCTCATGTATGTGACAGGGATGGCCACCTGCAGTAGTATGACCCTCATGAAATAGGAAGTCCGCCAGGTGTCCGCATTGGTCTTCAGACTTGGACCCCATGTATTCTCTCCTCAGTAACTGCCTGCTTATGTTTCCTAGTTGAAATGGCTCTGTTTGTCCCCGTGTGTCGTTGGCTCCGTTAGACATTTGTAGCAGATCTGGCTTGTTCACTTGCTCACTGGCGGGGATGGTGAGTGCATCTTGGAGTTTGAAGGTCTTACATTCCGTCACTGGGTTAGAGTGTCAGTGGAGCTGTTGGAGTGTGTCGGTGGGAACAGGTGCTTGATTTTGCAATTTGGTTTATTTGGCAATTAACTTTATTTCACTTGTATTTCACTTAATAATGTAGGTCACCTAATGAATACCAACCTGGTTCTGTCCTGGCCACTTTGCTTCCAGCCCAAGTCCTTGGGTGCCTGCCCGTGTGTGGCCAGGTGAACTCAGTCCTGAGCTGGCTTTGACCTGGCCCAGCCAAAGTTGTGAGCGTTTGGGGAGTGAACCACCAGATCAGACATCTTTCCCTGACTGTCTAATGTTTCTCTGCCTTTCCAAGAAAATGAAAAGAGTTCTTTAAGTGGCAATGGTAAATAACCCCTTTACATGGTTCTTTAGTTTTCAAAAACTCATGTTACAGTGGTGAGGCAGCAGTGTAAACCTTGCACTCTCCTGTTAACTGTCAAATGCTTGAACTTGAAAGGAGGAATATATAGCTTGATTGTTTCTTTCTTAGTACTTGATTCTGAAGCTGGAGAGGCCTGCTGTAGTCCAGAACATCACATTCGGAAAATACGAGAAAACTCACGTGTGCAACTTGAAGAAGTTCAAGGTCTTTGGTGGAATGAATGAAGAGAACATGACAGAGCTGCTGTCCAGGTGAGTCAGGGTCGGACTGCACGCGGACTTGAGCTTCCTGGGAGCTAAACCGGAAGAGAAAAAGAATATTTCTTCTATTTAGTGTAGTCGTTCAGCTTTTTTTGTTGTTTTGTTTTTAAACTGCTGGATACTCACTATTATCAAGCAAGAATGAGTAAAACTTAAAAATCTTTCATTTTCAGTTGTATTTTAGGATTTTTAATGACTTCACATTTTATTAAAATCTTTGCTATAAAAATATGGGTTTTTCCACAGCATTAAGATTCTTTACTCTGGGCCCGACACGATAGTCTAGTGGCTAAATCCTCGCCTTGCATGCGCCAAAATCCTATATGGGTGCTGGTTTGTGTCCCAGCTCCTCCACTTCCATGCAGCTTCCTGCTGTGGCCTGGGAAAGCAGTAGAGGACGGCCCAAAGCCTGGGGACCCTGCACCCTACTTGGGAGACCTGGAAGAAGCCACTGGCTCCTGGCTTCAGATTGGCTCAGCTCTAGCTTTTGCAGCTGTTTGGGCAGTGAATGGAAGATCTTTCCATATCTCCTTCTCTGCATTAATTTTAGTCAAGAAGTATTTCAAGACAGTCAATGTGATTTTCCCATAAATATGAAGAATTTTAGAAAGCTCATGAAGATTCAGGATTAAAAAGTAGGTTTATTTTGGCACAAAATGAAAAATAAAATTCATGTGTGATATTTTCACAATATACATTTCCAGGACCTTTTTGAAGGCCCTTTGTAAGCATGGATTAAAATTCCTTTTTTTCTCCAAAATAAGCTCTTTAATGCCATTTTCCATTAACTTTTGATATAACACTCACTTTATTTATGTCAATTCTAATTGTTTAAGAGGAATAGTGATACAAATTCATTTAGGCTAAAGTAAATTTAAGGTAAAATGATTTTGTCTTTGAAATTTTGTTTAAAGGGAGAATTTAGAATTAACTGATTTAATTCTCAGGCAAATTAATGCTGGATGTTTTTCATTAGCTGTCAGTAATTAGAAGAATATAGTTAGGATGCAGTTAGTTGGAATGTAAACGATTCCGCCTTATGCCCACGTTCGGCTCCCTGTCCATTGCTTCGGTCATTTATTCTGAGCATTGTTTTAAACTGGAAATTTGAGTCTCACGTTCACTCTGGTTTAGCGTGTCTCCTAATTACAATGAGGTCAGATTTAATACCCTTATTTTTTCTCTGCAGTGGCTTAAAGAATGATTACAACAAGGAGACATTCACATTGAAGCATAAAATTGATGAGCAAATGTTCCCTTGTCGATTCATAAAAATAGGTAAGGTTTTAACATTCTGGAAGGGGAACTTTTTTATATTACCAGTAAACTGTAGCCCCGGGCATTTCCTAAGGCCTTTCTTTGTATCAGATAAGCATCTGTGGGAGCACTGTGGTTCTGATTTGTCGGTGTTGCTTCTTGCGCTGCGTAAGCAGGACTAAGTGCAAGACGCCGGCAGTCCACGGCGAACGTTAGTGTTGGGTCATTTGCTGAAAACTTTGGCGGTTTTGAAACTGTAACATCCTAAAACACGAACAAAATACTGATGGATTTCTTAGGCTGGCATATTGTGGGTTTTTGGGTCTGATCTTTTTATTTGCTTTGTTTAAATTGACATACTGATCATATCCATTAAGTTAATTTCATGACTCAGTAATAAGTTGGAAACTTTATTTGAAAATAATTACCTTAGTGAATGAGTAAGATTAAAAGCCAGAACTTCACATTTTGATTTGGTAGAATCATGATTAGTTCCCATTCTGTCAAAAGGCCTTCCGTTTCATTTGCGGTAATTCTGTTGTGCAGAAGGAAGATCTGAAGTCTTAACAAAGATTACTTACATAGGGAAAGCCATCTTGGAATAGTTGAAAGTTTAGTGTGTTACTTTCTTTTGTAACCATAATTTTTATAAATGTAATAAATCTGTTTCCCTTTTTTTTGAAGAATTTATGAGCAGAGTAAAAACAAAGATTTATTTTATTGGAAAGGCAAATTTACAGAGAGAAGGAGAAACAGAAAGATCTTCAATCCATTGGTTCACTCAGTTGAGCCAGTCTGAAGCCAGGGGCCAGGAGCCTCTTCTGGATCTCCCATGTGAGTGCAGTGTTTCAAGGCCTTGGGCCACCCTCTGTTGATTGCTGTGGCCATTATCATTGAACTGGATGGGAACTGGAGCAGCTAGGACATGAACTGGTACCCATATGGGATGGTAGTGTTTGCAGGCAAAGGATTAGCCTACTGTGCCACCACACTGGCCTCGATAAACAAATACTTATTTATTTGTTTGTTTGTTTTCGGAAAGGCAAATTTATGGAGAGGAGGCGAGACAGAAAGATCTTGTGTCCACAGGCTCACTCCCCAAATGTCTGCACTGGCCATTGTTAAGCTGATCTGAGTGTAGGAGCCAGGAGCTTCTCCTGGGTCTCTCATGTGGGTGCAGGGTCCCCAGGCTTTGGGTCGTCGTCCTCTGCTTTCCCAGGCCACAGGCAGGGAGCTGGAGGGGAAGTGGAGCAACTGGGACATGTACCAGTGCCCTTATGGGATCTGGCACTTGGAGGTGGCAGATTAGCCAGTTGAGTCATGGTGCCGGACCCAGGTAAGCAATTTATTTAGTAAATTAACTCCTGATAGTTTCTTTTGTAATAGTGAATAGTTCTTTTTATTAATATTTTGACCACCAGTTACTGAAGTCTGTTATAGATTTAGTGATTCTACAACCTTTTATTTCAAATACAAACAATGAAACTTAAAACCTTTCCAACTTTTTCTGTCAGCCTTTTATTTTGTTGAATTTTTTATTTGCCCTTTTAATTTTCCCTAGCTTTTTTAAGGTCTGATTGGTGACTGTAGTAATCTCACATATTTGGTGTGTATTTTGCAGTTTTGTGATAGAGGCATACATCAGGAAGCTCGTTGACTTATCCTGCAACATTTTGGTGGGGAGAACATCTCATTTCTACTTTGGTAGGGTGTTTCAAGTGTGCAGTGCGTTGTGGCTCCTGTAATGACAGCACTGCACAGTAGGCCACTGGAGCTGCTTTGTCCTGTCGGGGTCTGCCTGGTCCGAGCAGCTCGGTGAGAGCCCAGGGACAGGCCTTCTGGACTTTAGGTTTATCTTGGCGTATTCAAGCAGGGTGCAAGTTGGAACTTTCAAGTGATAGCCATTGATGGACTTTTGACGTTTAGGAGTTTAGTATTTAGGAAGTGATGTGGTTTTTTTCTATTAAATTATGGTAACACTGGTCTGTAGCGTATTTGCTTTTCAACCCCTTGGAAACATCTCTTGATCCTGTTTGATTAAATGTGAAACTAAAAGCCTGTGTGTAGCGTGAGTGTCTTTGGTTGATCACCTTCTGTTTAAGAAGTCACTTGTGTGCAGATGTTGGGCAGATGTTGGCACAGCAGGTGCCCACACCTGCATCACAGTGCCCAACCTGGCACATCCATGCCGAGGGACACTGCAGTCATGTCCAGACCAGATCATCACCCCATTCCAGCTCTCGCACCGACCAGTGGAAACCATTGTAGATCTGCCTTTCCAATAAAAATAGTAAATAGGTTTTTTTTAAAGTCTGTTTTGGACTTTTCATCTGTGCATGATTTTGAAATTTCATCTGTAGGTCATTTGGAAAATGTAGCCGGGGGCAGGTGCTATGATAAGTGGATTAATGCGTCCTTTAGGAACGCTGGCCCAGGTCTCTGCTGTTCTGCTTCTGCTGGAAGCAGCAGGTGGTCCCCTAAGTGGAAGACCAGGATAGAGTGACTGGCTCCTGGCCCCCTGATTCTGTCCTCATCCCGCCCTGCGGAGAGGGAAGCCAGCAGATAATACATCTCTCCTTCCAGCTCTCCTCCCTGACGGTCTGCCTGTCAAATAAGTAAATACGTTCTAATGAATGGCTCATCTAGATAAATGTGGAAACATTTCCTTAAACAGAGATTTAAAACTCAGATCTGTAGCTTGCACCTCCAAACTTGTGAAAATCCTTAAGATTTTTCTGAGTCAAACTCGTAGTGATTTATAGCAAATTCCCAGAGTTCTGATTTTCACTTGAAAGTTTGATTTTATCTCTAAGAGTAAATATCATTAGTTGCATCTCTTGAAATGACAGCTAAATTGTCTGGCAAATACTCTAAATTATAAGTTGTCTGCTAGGTTTTTTATTTTTTAAAAAATACAGTTGAAAGTCTTGGTTATATTAGCTTATAACTTAAAACAGTTGTACAGGTGCTTGTCCTTGGAATAACCAAGGTTGTTATTGCTTTGGTATTCAGCAAAAAATGATTTCTTTGCTTTTTGATCATGCAACATGTTGAGTGATATAGTTAATGAGGAATTAACTAAGGTTTACTGCATCGTTGGGGCATTGAATGGTGTCTCCTTCAGCCCTCCGTCATTTTTCTCTGCTGCAGCTTCCACCGCAGTAAATGCAGCAGTGCTTTTCGCTTCTGTTAGTGTGGAAACAAGGTCCAGCATGTCACTCACTGTTGCTTTTGTGCCATTAGTCAAATATTGGCATTGTATTAAAAGCTGACAGTCTCCTGGTGTTAAGAAATTTGATCACCTGTCTGCCTTGAAGGGTTGTGGGGATCCCCGGGGTTTTGTGAGCTCTGCTTTAAAAGCTGTGCTCTGTCCTTACATCGCTGGTGTGTAGTGTCACCAGATGCTTCGAGAGAGGCTTGGAATCAGCATGGTGGCTCAACAGACCAACCCTCTGCCTGCTGCGCCGGTATCATGTGGGTGCTGGCTTGTTTCCTAGCTGCTCCACTTCCCATCCGGCTTGGGAGAGCAGCAGAGGATGACTGGAGGCCTTGGGATCCTGTGTCCATGTGGGAGACCCAGCGGAGCTCCTGACTGCGGACCCACTCCACCATGGCCATTGTAGCCGTTGGGCTGGGGGGTGAACCGACAGAGGAAAGATCTCGGTAGATCCGACTTTCAAATAAAATAATTAAATTTTAAAAAGTTTGAAACACTTGGTATGTTCCATTGATATACTTCCTTTGTCATGTACTAATAGTTTATAATTATTGTATATATTTTTTAAAGATTTATTCTTATTGGAAAGTCAGATATACAGAAAGGAGAAACAGAGAGGAAGATCTTCTGTCCATTGATTCACTTCCCCAGCGGCCGCAACTGCTGGAGCTGAGCCAGTCCAAAGCCAGGAGCCCAGAACCTCCTAGGAGTCTCGCACATGGGTGCAGGGTCCCAAGGCTTTAGGCTGTCCTCGATTGCTTTCCCAGGCCACAGGCAGGGAGCTAAGTGGGAAGTGGGACTACCAAGATTAGAACTGGCAGCCACAATGGATCCGGGTGCATGCAAGGTGAGGACTTCAGCTACTAGGCTACCATGCTGGGCCCAATTATTGTATGTTTGTAGTATGCTAATCTTACTGTTTTTAATATTTGCTTATCTTTTTATATCAGCATATTCAGTTAGATGTCACAACAAAATTGAATATATACCATTGGGATTTTGCTGAGTTATATTGAATTTATAATTCAGAGAAATCATGTACAAAATTGGATCTTCTTGTCTAGTTAAATAGTTATACTTATTCCTTTATTTCTTCACTTCAAAATTCTACATCTTCTTAATACTGTGTATTTTCTCGTTTATTTTTAGATTTTTCAGCTTTTTTTGACTGTTATAGAAGAACTTTTAAAATATCACAAGTGGAAATTATTGGGAAAGAAAACATTGACTTTGTTTCCTTCAACACAGCCGCAAATTTTAAAGATATTTTTCAAGTTAATGTCTTGAAATTTTTATGGTAGATATATAATCCTTAATTGGTAATTTCCTTTCTTAAAAGTTACACTGCTAAGAGTTCCATATAATGAATGATAGAAACATTCGGCTTCTTTGTATTGGAAGAGATCCAGGGAACAGAGGCTCTGCGGCCTCTGCGTGCATCACGCCTGTGAGTTACTAAGGAGAGCGTGCATTCTGTTTTTGTTTATTGGAATAATATGACATCTTTTAGTTTTGTTTAGGTGGTAAGTTATGTGAGTGTACTCCTGTTGGAGGTCTGTTTGCTTACAGTAAAAGCCTGATAGATTTGGTTGGCAGTGTTTTCTGCTTTGATTTGAATATCCTAGCTACGATGAATCTCTTCTGGTTTGGTTTTCAAGTCTGTAACATCGATAAGCAATTGAATTTTCAACTCCCCTCTGTTCTGACATCATCCAAATGATAGACTGTTGCAGGTTTGCGAGTTCAACCTGCCTAGTCACCTAGCTCGGTTGTATTTGGGGCTGCCTGCATGACCACTGTTCAGCCCGCCTTTCTGGGTTTTTATTCCCTGACCTCATCCTGGCGTCTGTCCCGTCTCTTGCTGTCGCAGGCTTAGAGTCTGGTGCAGTGCTGAGCGCACAGAAGGCAGTCGCCAATCTTGTTGAAGGAAGCCTGAGACTTACATGCATAATGGTTTTACCTTGTTAACGTTTAATGGGAACTATAATGTGTTTTTTCCCTCTTCCTTAAAGTTCCGCTGCTGTCCTGGGGACCAAGCTTTAACTTCAGCATCTGGTACGTTGAGCTTAGTGGCATTGACGAGCCTGATGTGGTGCAGCCATGTCTCAACTGGTACAGCAAGGTAGGGTACCCTGCAAGCGCCTCTGTGTCCTGCCTGCCAAGTGAGAAGTGTGTCTTCAGTGCAAATCTGTGATAGCATGAACTGTACAGCTGTAATGTTAACCAGTGCATATTAAACTGTCACAATCTCCAGGTTGTAAGCAGTCTTGATAACTCATGTAATTATCAGTTTATGAGGTAGGGAATTCATTATCCCGTTATTTTGCAGTTGAGGAAGTACAGCAGTGGGAGACTAAATATTTTGCCTACGGTCACCTCGTTGCAAGGTGACTGAGCCAGTAAATCAATACAGCAGTCCGCCATTATATTATTATATTGATGTGATGACATTTTTTAAACCAATCTATATTGAGTAAAGTAGTTTAAACATAGTTTCTGGTGGGATCGTTTTATAACCTATACATAATAAGTTTAGAAGTAAGATTCTTAATGATTTAAGGCATTGTTATTGTAATCATATACTATTATTTAGTTATGAGTTTTTAGAAATCAAGAGCATGAGGCTGTTAATGTAAAATTGGTATAGATATCGAATCATGTTTTAAAGATGTATTTATTTATTTGAAATTCAGAGTTGCAAGGAGGGAGGATGAGGGAGAGCGAGCAGTTGGCTCCCCAAGTGGCTGATGTGGCCAGATCTGAGCCAGCCCGACGCCAGGAGCCAGGAGCTTCATTTGGGTCTCCCATTGGAGTACAAGAGCCCGTGAACTTGGGCCTTCTTCGGCTGTTGTCCCCAGGCATGTTAACAAGAAACTCAGTCAGAAGCAGAGCATCCTGGACTTGAACCAGCACCATATGAGATCCTGGTGTCGCAGGCGGTAGCTTTACATGCTATGCTGCAGTGCCAGCCCGTAAATCATTATTAGATGAAGTAAACTCTTAGTTAATTTTGTATAAAAAATAGCTGTGTACAGCACTGGTGTGCCTGGCTTTAAAGTTCAGCTCACCTTCTGATTCCAGTTTCCTGCTAATCCACAGCCCACAGACAGTACTCCTGGCTGAGTGGCTAGCCCTGTGACATGTGGCAGAGTAGGCAGTACTCCTGGCTGAGTGGCTAGCCCTGTGACATGTGGCAGAGTAGGCAGTACCCCTGGCTGAGTGGTTAGCCCTGTGACCTGTGACAGAAGTGGCTTGCATTCCTGCCTCCTGGCTCTCACCTGGCCCAGCACTGGCTATGGAGAGTGAACCAGTGGATGGAAGATCTCTTTTAAATAAGTTAAAAGGAATTTTTAATCAAAAAGAAAAATTAACATTTAGAATGCTTTTACTAGTCAGAAAGTTAGGTAATTATGAAGTGGTGTATCTTAGATTTTCTTTCTTTATTATGCCTGTTGCTAAGTCATTATTATTTGATTGTCAATCAGCATTCTGTGTCATGTCTCTTTTGTTAATGGTTTAACTTTTTTTTCTTATTTTTTAACTGTACAATGGGATAATTAGAAAAATTAAGGTGTTTTTTTCCTGGAAAAAAATTCTTTAAGCTTTTGTTTTCACCGTTCATGTTGTTTGAGATAAAATTAATTAATTGAGTGGCCCTCTTTGGGTTCTCATCGAGTGAGCTCCCTGCTTGATAGTCACGTGGTAGGTGAGGCCATCAGGCTGTGAAGATGTAAGAGGTAGAGTGAAGATTGTTGTCCTAGAAGCTGGAGTTCAGTCTGGGATATTGGCAAGGCTTACCATTCCAGTGATAGCTTGTTAGGAACCAGGAAGAGCAATCACAGCGTAGTTCATGGTTTCTCTGCTTTCAGTGCTGTTTGTCACACGGCGAGTAGACACCCGGGAGCATCAGCCTTCACAAGTGCTTCTGCTGCTTTTCTTCAAAGCCCGTGCTCTCCTCTTCATTCCCACCTCACTTCATCTTACCCAAAAGTCCCACAAGCGATGATTGTCATTTCAAACGTTTGCTTACATGCTGCGTGTCCTTGGCAAACTGTTGTGGGTTCAGTTTTGCTGTTGGAAAGCGGCAGTAGCGTGCAGTGCTGTCAGCAGTGCAGGCTGCGGGCTTAGTGGGGTTCTCCCTGCCGTTCTCTCCTGCCGTCGCGGCTAAGCCGGTGTCTTCTGCGACCACTCTGTCTTGTGTTCTAGTAGTACCGTGAACAGGAAGCCATTCGACTTTGTCTGAAGCACTTCCGGCAGCACAACTACACTGAAGCGTTTGAGTCACTGCAGAAGAAGACCAGGATCGCTCTGGAACATCCCATGCTGACGGGTCTGCACGACAAGCTCGTGCTCAAGGGGGATTTTGATGCGTGTGAAGAGCTCATTGAAAAAGCTGTCCATGGTATGAAACTGATTTATTGCTAGGATGTAATTGCAAATATATAAGGGAAGCTTTTTCAGAAAGAATGTAGGCTGCTTAATGCCGTATTCATTTTTTTCCCATTTTGGATTAGGAGCTTCTTTTCCTGTAAGATAGGCCTATATTGTAACAGTATTTTTAAAAAAAATTGCTAGACTGGTGTTGTGGTGTTGTGGGTAAAGCTGCCACACGCTACGCTAGTATGGCACCCTTTCGAGTCCTGGCTGCTCTACTTCTGATCCAGCTCCCCTCTAACATACCTGGGGAAGCAATGGGTCATGGCCCGGGTGCTTGTGCCCCTGTGACACGTGGGACACCTGGATGCAACTCCTGGCTCCTGCCCTGGCATGTCAACACATGTATCTGTGTGCTAGCTGTCACCTTGGGAAGCCACGCATGTAAGAATGTTAGCACTAGCTAGCACTAACTCTTGTTAGGAACCACTCTGGCCTGACTTTAGTAGCAGTGACTTGTTCCAGTACAAATTTCTTGTCAGTGTCTTGTGTATGTTCTTTAGTGTGTGTTTTGGGTGCTGCAGGTGGTGGTTAGCAGCCAGAATGAGAGGAGACGCGTTGAGCAGCTCCGGGTGATATGGATGCTACATCATTGCTCACATTTTTTTTGGCCTATAATCTAACTTTGAAAGAAATGTGAATATGTAAACAGAATGATCTCCCAAGGTAATTGCTTTGTAGGATCATACCCATTTGGATATTTAAATTCTTGTGTATTTTATTTAATAATAGTTTCTGCTACTAATAGAGTAACTTATGTAAGTATTCAGCAGATTTCATAGTAGTGAAGAGTGAGTGCTTTATGTGAGACTTGTGCAATTGAACTTGGTACTTTTTTTTAAGATTTATTTTATTTTATTTTTTTTTACAAAGTCAGATATACAGAAAAGAAGAGAGAAAGGAAGATCTTTTGTCCATTGATTCACTCCCCAAGCGGCTGCAACAGTGGAGCTGCGCAGATCCAAAGCCAGGACCCCAGAGCTTCTTCTGGGTCTCCCACACAAGTGCAGGGTCCCAAGGCTTTGTGCCGTCCTCGGCTGCTTTCCCAGACCACAGGCAGGGGGCTGGATGGGAAGCAGGGCCTCTGGCATTAGAACCGGTGCCCATATGGGATCTTGGGGTGTGCAAGGCAAGGACTTTAGTCACTAGGCTACCATGCCACACCAAAAATTGGTGCGTCTTTTCAAAAAATATTTGTGCATCTGATGGAGAGATAGAAGGAGTAGAAGAGTTCCCTCTGTTGAGTTCTACGTCAGATTGACTACATTCTGGCTAGGATGAAAGCAGGACCAGGAACTCAGTCCAGCTCTGCTGCGTGGGTAGCTTGCCCCAAGTATTGGAGTCGTCATTGCTGCCTTCCAGTGTGCATCCTGGTGAGCAGCCAGAATCAGCAGGTCAGCCTGACCGTGGCCTGGAGCATCTTAACCACTAAACCACTGGCCTGCCCTGATGCATCTTTTTAGAGAAAGGAATTGTCCGTAGATTTTAGAGCCTTGCGTCCAGATATTTTAATATGATTACTGTTGCTAGTCCTCCACTATTGAATACTCATATGTATGAAACACCGGACTATTTTATAACTAAAGAGTACTGCCTTTTTTGAGGCAGTTAAATAAAGTAAATAAATTTAACTTTATAAAGTGTATAAATAAAGAGTATAAATGTGATAATTAATCTCTTAGAAAACATTGAAAGTGCCACTGGTGAGACTGTTCTCCTGTGTACGTGTGTTTTTACACGCTGTCTGTGAGTGAATTCTGTATTCTTTAACCTCAGAGGAAAAGGGACTTATAGGTAATTCTATGTTGTCTGTTTCAAATATTTAATTGATTGGTATCACTGTTTTAAGGAAAAGTGTTAAGAACTGTCACCACCTTCCTGCAGCCTCGTGTAATTACCAGGATAAGGATTTCCTTCGTAGTACACTATGTTAAGAGGGACTGTTAAAATTGTACACCATTTTGATTAGTACAGAGACATACCGTCTGGCTCTAGAAGAAAAACCAATTTTAGGGAAATTTTTCAAGTTAAGTCAAAGTGTGTGTGTGTCTGTATTCCTATGGTCTCCCCTGGTTCGGAATGCTGGTAGTCAGCGTTCCTTCTAGAGCTGACTTTGCTGCTGACGTCACTGGTGAAGATCCGTTGGACAAATAAGGAAGTAAATAGAGCAGAGATTTTTTTTTTTTTTTGCGTCTGTTCTACTGAAAACATAGCAGAGAAGAACAAGAAGTTCCAGCTTGCTAAGTGGGGAAATCTAGAGAATCAGAAACATTTACCCAGACTGTAAATAATGGAGGGAGAAAAGGCTGCCTTTGGTGTATGTAATGTGCATTAGTCTGATCTTCAAGCATGGGCTATGTCTTAAAGTCGCAGGCTTATCTCTCTGATAGACTTCCTGTTTGCCTACAGAATCTAATGTCATGAGAGGCGAGTCGTGAGGCAGTATTTGCTGCTTGCTCCCTAGCAGTGTGGAGCCTGGTGTGATGGTGGGCTGGTCTCCTGCAAGGGTGGCCGTCTGGGGTAGTGCTTCGGCTGCCGCTGCCGCGCCGCTGAGCTCTGCCTCGAGGCCAGCTTCCTGCTCACTGTGCCTTGGCAATGACGGCTCTCGTAGCTGAGCTTGCCACTCACACGAGTGATTTCTGGCTCCTAGCTCTGGTCTGGTTAGCCCTGCGTGTTTGCCAGTAGTTACAGAGTGAACGCAGGTTTGGAGGGTGTGTGTGTGTGTGTGTGTGTGCGTCTGTGTTTCACATAAAGTGAAAAAAATTTAAGTTGGAAAATTCAGGTTTCAAAATTGAAAAAGCTAAAAAGGAGTTAGAAGATTTTTGTTTTGGCGTATATTTTGTAAAACTCCATGTATAGTTTTTCTGTAACAGACAAGTCTGAGGAGATTGTGGTGGTCACTTACATGTGTATACGTGCTTAGCTTCATTTAGGATGCCAGTTCTGAGCAGTGTGCTGTTTTCTGTTTGTTGGCAGCATGTGCTACACCCCACGTTTTGCCCACATTCAGTAAGGTCAGTTTCCACGTTGGTTGTCTTAGGGGAGGGTTTGCAGCACAGCCGGTTAAGCCGCTGCTTCAGACGCCTGCACCCCTTAGCAGAGCACCTGCCCTGAGCATTGGCTGTTGAAGTGCTCGGGTCCCAGCAGCCGCGGGGGGACCTGGGCGGGTGTCTAGGAGCTGCCTTTGGCTTCAGACTTGTGGGTGTTCACAGGCATCTGGGGAGGAGAGCCAGTGGACTGAAGAGTTCTCGTTTCTCCATCTTTCTAGAAGATAGGTAGCGTCTTGTGGTTCTAAGTTGCATTTCCCTAATAACAAGTGAGGCCTTGTATATTTCCATATGCTGCTTTCTCGTTTCTGTGTCTTTGGTAAAGTGTCTTCAGATCTGTTGTTCCACTTTAAGTCGGGCTGTGCTCGGCTCTGTCATGCACACAGGATGTCTGCAGGCTGCCGGCTGCCTTCTGTCTTGAGTGTCACAACTTTTGAAGTTTGGTAAAACTCAGTTTGTCCAGTATATCATTTAGCGATATTTTCTGTCACTGGATCTAAGAAATGTTAACCTAAGCAAAGGTTGTAGAGACTTTGTCCTTTGTGTCTCCTGCAGTGTTGTGGCTTGATGTACCTGCCTCAGTGTAGGGGCACTGTGTACCAGATGTGGAGCTGTGGTGGCTGGGCTTTCCCTGGGCCTGCAGGGACGCTGTCCTTTCCCACTGACTGGTCTTTACATATTTGTCAATAATCAGCTTGTCATCGCTGTGTGGTGTTCTGTCTGTGCTTTCTAGACTGTTGCAATATGAATCTTCTAACTTTATATTTTATTTCAAAGTTGTTTTTGGAAGTTGTGCCATGAATTTTTATTTGAATTTTGTTTATTTTTAAAGATTTATTTCAGGGAGAGAGATGTATCTTTCATCCACTAGTTCACTCCCCAAATGTCTTGTAATGAGAGGCTGACACCAAGAACCTGGGACTAGATCAAGGTGTCCCACAGGGGTGACAGGGACTCAAGTTCTTGTCCATTCTCTGCAGGTAGGACTGGTACTCTTTTGGGAGTAGTCACAATGGTCAGAGCTGAGCCAATCCGAAGCCGGGAGCCAGGAGCTTCTTCCAGGTCTCCCTCACAGGGTGCAGGGTCCCAAGGCTTTGGGCTGTCCTCTATTGCTTTCCCAGGCCACAAGCAGAGAGCTGGATGGGAAGTGGAGCAGCCAGTATACAAATCGGCACCATTATGGGATCCTGGAACATGCAAGGCAAGAACTTTAGCCACCAGTCTGCTGCACCGGGCCCCTATAAATGATTTTTAAAACACATAGAATTCTTTATTTGAATTGACCAGAAAGTTTATTTACATTATTTTAATCTTATTTTCTACTATTTCATAACCTCAAACTGTCATTTTTCACTCCCCAATGATTTCATTTTCTTACATTTAAAGTTTCTGTTTAAACTGTTTATATCCTTATGCATTTAATATAACCATGTTTTTATAGCTAATAAGTGTAATCTTTATGGGAAAATAAGTTTGAGTTGCCACTGAGTTTGTTTACGTGGCTGCATCGACGGAGGCCCTCACTGTCCGTGTTTGGAGTAGTGCTGTCAGTGACATGGGCGTGGTTGGCGCTTTCGTTGAAGGTGGGCGCTTGCATGTGAAAGCGTGTGTCTTAACGTGAAATGTGGAAGGCCCGATGTGACTCTCGCTCTCTCTTGTCAGATGGCTTATTCAACCAGTACATCAGCCAGCAGGAGTATAAGCCGCGCTGGAGCCAGATCATCCCCAAGAGCACCAAAGGTGAGCCTGCCCGGGCTCAGGCCTCGCGCTTGCCTCTGTCCTCGGTCCTCCCAGCACTGTGTTCATGACAGGTGTGGACTGGAAGATACAAGAGTCGGTGTGGGACATTTTGTTCAGTGCCGTAACAGGAAGTTGGACAGTTTTCACACAGAATATAATCATAAATTGCTTTCTGGAGAACTATGGAAAATTACAAGCTGTTTGTAATGCCATACATTTGTGCCAGAAAAATTCTAAGTTCTGAAGAATTGCTCACCAAACCCTAGCAGAGATGAGGGAAACAAGAGGGGCAGGCTGGTCCAGAGCTGTGGAGCTTTGATCATAGGCGTTTAGCAGATGCTAGTGTAGGCAACTTTTCTTTATTCTTCTTAAAGATTTGTTTGTTTGAGTGAGGGAGATGGAGAGAGGGTGGAGGAATGGCCAGGATTTAGCCAAGCCGGAGCCAGGAGCTTCTCTCACATCTGCCATGTAGACAGCAGCCATCCTAGTCTCTGAGCCATTTCCTAGTTGCATTAAACAGGAAGCTGCATTGGAAGTGGGACAGCTGGGACAGGAAGTGGCATCAATATTGGCTGTTTGCATTGGGGCGGCAACTTTACCCAGTAATCACAGTGCTAGCCCAAAGTGAGTTTTTCAACACATTAATTTTGAGGGGTCAGCATGATGGCTGAGGTGGCTAATCCTCCACATACAAGCATTGACATCCCATATAGGCCCCAATTCATGTCCCAGATGCTCTACTTCTGTTCCAGTTCCTTGCTTGTGGCCTGGGAAAGCAGAGCAGAATTGCCCAAAATCTTGGGACCCATGTGGAAGACCCAGAAGAAGCTCCTGGCTTTATTTTGGCTCAGCTCCAAGCATTGCAGTCAACTGGGAAGTGAACCAGATGATAGAAGATCTTTTTTTCTATATAAAACCTGCCTTTTGGGGGAAAAAAAAATCTTAACAAGAGATATTGATATTGAGCATTTTAGTGAATTTGGATGAAACCTAAATTTTTTTTTAAGATTTGTTTTTATTGGAAAGACAGGTGTACAGAGAGAAGGAGAGACAGAGAAAAACATCTTCCATCTACTGGTTCACTCCCCAAGCACCCACAAAGGCTGGGGCTGAGCCGATCCGAAGCCAGGAGCCAGCAGCCTTTCTCCAGGTCTCCCACACGAGTGCAGGGTCCCATGGGTTGGGCCGTCCTGCACTGCTTTCCCAGGCCACAAGCAGGGAGCTGGATGGAGAGTGGAGCAGCACCCAGATGGGATCCCAGCACCTCTAAGGCGAGGATGTAGCCGCTGTGCTATCACACTGGGCCCAGACCTTACATCTTGAGTCTCGTCCTTCCTTCCATTAGGTACAGGTCCTGGAGGGCATTGCTTTTAGTGAAAACTGTTTTCATGGGATCGAGCTTCATTCTTACTGCCTTCATGTCTTATTGTGAGGAAGCTTTCTCTCTCGGTCTCTTACGGATTTGTTTGTTTATTGTAAAAGTCAGAGTTACAAAGCGATCTTCCATCTGTTGGTTCACCTGGGTGACCACAGTGGCCAGTGCTGGGCCAGACCAAAACCAGGAGCCAGGCACTTCATCCGGAGAGCCGTGCACGTGGGCCATTCTCTCCTTTTCTCAGACCGCTAGTGGGGAGCTGGAGTGGAAGTGAGGGGGCCAAAGCACAAACTTGTGCCCATGGGGATTCTCGCATTATTGCTGGTGGCTTTACCTACTGTTCCACCCTTTCCTTTGATAAAGTTGGAGGAAATTGCCTATGAATCTGTTATTTTTGTATGATATGAACACCATTGTCTTATTACAGTAGTACTTACGAGATAACTTTTTTTTTTGAAGATTTATTTTTATTGCAAAGTCAGATGTACAGAGAGGACGATCTGTGCAATGATTCACTCCCCAAGCCGCCACAATGGCTGGAGCTTAGCTGATCCGCAACCAGGAGCCAGGAGCTTCCTCCAGGTCTCCCATGCGCGTGCAGGGTCCCAAGGCTTTGGGCCGTCCTCCACTGCTTTCCCAGGCCACAAGCAGGGAGCTGGATGGGAAGTGGATCCTCCAGGATTAGAACCAGCACCCGCATGGGATCCCGGCATATGCACGGCAGGGACTTTGGAACTAGGCTGTCGCGCCGCGCCCAGGATAACTTTCCTCAGAGACATACATGTTGTAGTAAATTGACTGCAACTCTCTTTGAAAAATAAGGAATAAGTATATAAAATGCTTGGAAAATAAGCTGTTTTAATATTGTCTAAGCAAGTGACTGGGTAGAGAAAGAAGAGCAGAGCAAAGCTGCACTGGCAGTGAGCTGCAGAGTTCCGTCTGCGGGGGGAAGGAGGCAGAGCCCCGCGCAGGCTCGGCGTTGGTCCCACGGCAGGGAAAAGGTCTGGTTCACGTCGTGCTTTCCGACCGTTTGTCAGAATTGTTCATTTGGTCATTTTTTAAGTACCCTTGTGAAATTAGTACAAAGTAGAAGGTATCAGTTTTTCATAGGAGAAAACTGAAGTAGGGAATTTATTAGACACAGTAGTGCATAATGTAAAGATGATATAATATAGTGTATAATAGAGTAGTGACAACCCTTATTTATGTTAGACCCTTGTAACCTTTTGGACTATTGAAATGAAATTGTATTTTCATTTATATAAGACTTTGTGTACAGTAAACTATCAGTTGAATAGTTTTCTTCTTTAAAAGCTTAAATTTCCATTGATTTCTATATTTATTTTTCGCTTATTCAGTAAGGCTGTGTCCATGAGCGATCAGACACTTGGGTCGTCACGCTGCCTGCCATTGGTCTGCCTTGGCAGGAAGCTGGAGTTGGCATCCTGAGATACTCTGGGAATCAGGCGTCTCAACTTAAAAACCTGCCCCGAACTTGTTTAATCCTACCTTTTAAACTCTGTGAAGAAATGAAAATCAAAGTAAACTAAATCGGGCCCTGCGTGATAGCGTAATGGTTGAAGTCCTTGCCTCACATGTGCCGGATCCCATATGGGCTCCGGTTCTAGTCCCAGCAGCTCCACTTCCCATCCAGCTCCCTGCTTGTGGCCTGGGAAAGCAGTGGAGGACTGCCCAAAGCCTTGGGACCCTGCACCCGTGTGGGAGACCTGGGAGAAGCTCCTGGCTCCTGGCTTTGACCAGCTGTTGCGGTCACTTGGGAAGTGAACCATCAGACAGAAGATCTTCCTCTCTGTCTCTCCTACTCTCTGCCATCCCAATAAAGATAAATAAATCTTTAAAAAAAAAAAAGAAGAAGAAAGTAAATCAAACCAGTGTTTTCTCAGCATTGTTCAAGTAACAATAATTTGTAATGTATATAGGGACTGATTTCTGAAATATTTGTGCAGAATTAATATCATAAGGAAATTATCATTAATATAAAACCTGATAACATCTTAGTTTTCAATAGTTTTATGTACTTAAAACTTTTTATTTAGCAATGAGCCATGTCTGAAATTCAAGAGTACTTCAACATTTTTGTGGAAAATACAGGCAAAAGATAAGTTTATTTAGGTGCAAAATTTTTTTTGAAACTCATTCATAATAGTAAGAATAGGTCCATGAAAAATGTATATTATGAAAAAATATATCTATGGATTTCCAAATTTTGCACCAACAAAACCTTTTGTCTTTTTTATCTTTTTAAGTTTTATTTTAAGATTTTATTTTATTGATTTATTTTACTTGAAAATCAGAAATGTAGAGAGAAATCTTTTCCATCTGTTGGTTTACGCCCCAATGGTTTACAGCCAGTGCCAGGCCACACTGAAGCCGCGAGCCAGGAGCTTCTTCCAAGTCTCCCATATGGGTACAGGATCCCAAAGCCTTTGGCCATCCTCAGCTGCTCTCCCAGGCCATTAGAAGGGAGTTAGACCAGAAGCTGAGCAGCCAGGGCTCAAATTGACACCCACATGGGATGCCAGTCCTGCAGGCAGAGGACTAACTTGCTGTGCCACCACACTGGCCCTGGAAACTTTGTCTTTTAATTTTGTGATTCCACAATATTTTGATGTACCCTTTGGAATAGGATTTTAAGACTTATTTGCTTTTTATTTTTGTTTGTTTTTTGTTTTGTTGTAATTTGAAAGGCAAATTTACGGAGAGAAGGAGAGACACAAAGGGAAAGGTCTTCTGTCTTGTGGTTCCCTCCCCAAGTGGCCACAGCAACTGGAGCTGAGCCGTATGAAGCCAGGAGCTTCTTCCAGGTCTGCTGTGTGGAGGAAGGGACCCGAAGCCTGGGCCGCCTGCCACTGCTTTTCCAGTCCATAAGTGTGGGATGGCTTCAAAGTGTAGATTAGCTTGTTGGACCAGCTCAGTGTCCCCAAGGATAGGATTTTGTAATTGTTTTCTGCCTTCACTTTGACACTCTAGTAACTGCAGAAATATTGTCTTTCATATTTGTATAATATCATATGTCTTTGTTAACTTTTGTCAGTGGTCATAGATAAAATGAAAATAGCTTCCAGTTGCATTAATGTAGCTTGAATTCAATTAGAAAAAAGAGCAAGATAATTTTTACAGATGTAAGTCATATTATTTCATATATTTAGTCTTAATATTTTGAAAGGAAAAAAAGGCTGATTTTTAGTACAAGTTGAAATATTCCATATCCCAAATGCCTGGGGTGAGCAGGGTTTCCTTGGGTGGTTTGAACTCTGCTTCTGCTTTACCAGTCGGGCACGTGTCATCTGGGGCCCAGGTCGGCTCCAGGACATGAAGCTCTCTGGCTAGTATGTCAACATTGAAAAGGTTTAGGTTTTTATTTTGGATTTTCACATGAGGGGTTCTCAACCTGCACTTGCTACAACCTTCTGAGTAAAGTCAGTCTGGATTTCCGATGGTTCTTTATCATTCCTTTAAAAGAAGCTGTTTCTGTTCAGGTGATGGAGAGGAGAACCGGCCGGGAATGCGAGGCGGCCATCAGATGGTGATTGACGTTCAAACAGGTGAGTAACGCTGGAGCGGTGAGAAGCACCAGCCTTTTGTTGTTCACCAGAAAGGTTGACGGTTGTTCGTAACCCAGTAACAAGGTAAACATTCCCCATAGGCATAACCTAAGGCAGGAGGCATCACACACGTGAAGGTGAGTCACCTAGAATGCGTGGAAGGTGCAGGCTCTGTATGTACATGAAGTTTTATGGGTATATATGTAGTTCATGTGAGTTGTGCTAGCATGAAAAGCTAGAGTATTCATAGATTTTGAGTGATTCATATTTTGATAGAACAATATAGGAATTACCAGAATAAAGAATCAAGTTTTTTTTTTTTTAAATAGATATTTGTTTGTTTGAAAGACAGACTTAAAGACAGAGAGAAGAGCTGGTCCTGGTGCTATAGCCTAGTGGCTGAATACTTGCCTTGCATGGGGTCCCGTATGGGCACTGGTTTGTGTCCCAACTGCCTTACTTTCTTTCTAGCTCCCTGCCTGCTTTCTGGTAAAGCAGTAGAAGACGGCCCAAAGCCGTGGGCCCCTGCACCTGCATGGGAGATGCAGAAGAGGTTCCTGGCTCCTGGCTTCGGATCGACTCAGCTCTGGTCATTGCGGCCACTTGGGGATTGAACCAGCAGATGGAAGATCTTCCTCTCTGTCCTTCTCTTGTAAATCTAGCTTTCCAATAAAAATAAGCAAGTCAAAAAAAAAAAGAAAAAGAAAAAGAAAAAACAGAGAGAGAGGAGCTTTCGTCTGCTGGATCTGCTGACTTACTCCTCAAATGGCCGAAGGAACTCAGCTGAGCTAAAGCCAGGAGCCCTTCCAGGTCTCGCACGCGGGTGCAGGGTCCCACGGCTTTGGGCCGTCCTCCACTGCTTTCCCAGGCCACAAGCAGGGAGCTGGATGGGAAGTGGAGCAGCCAGGACAAGAACTGGCACCCATATGGGATGCCAGACTTGCAGGCTGCAGTTGTAACCACGTAAGCCATAGAGCTTTCAGAGAATATGAAATTAGCTTAGACTTGATCTGTTCATTAGTTGCTGAAAACTCATCAAGTTTATAAATGATATGTTTGTTTTGCTGCCTTTTACATTTTACTGTCAAACTTGGCACCAAAAAATGTTTCAGGTTTATATTGCTTCTGACACTTTGAGTGCCGTTATAGACTAATGCCAACTTCACAGTAGTTTTCAAATCAGTTTTTTGAAAGCAAATGAAACTAAGAATCTAGGATTATATTGTTTAATTTAAGAAAACTTTACTGCATGGCAATATCCACCCTAGTAATACTTTCCTTTGTCTAAGACTAATATAACACTTGGCCATGATGGTGATTTGCTGATTCATACTGCTTTGGGAATTAAAACATTTGCTTTTGTAGACTTGTAGGAAAATTACCAATCAGAATCTTGTAACGTGTGTACTGAGTCTTGGCATAGTCCTGTTTTACAGAATGTTTGGAAAGAACAAGGAGAGCATGATTTTTCATTTAAAATTAGCACAGCATTTGCGGAGTAACCTCTGGCTGGTCTGAGGGCATTGCTGAAGTGTGGGTGTCTGGGGCAGAGAAGAAGGGAGGTGACTGTGGGTCACGGGCTGGACTGGAGCTCCTTCGGAGAGGAGGGGAGCCCTCCTTGCGGCTCTTGCTTTACAATCGGCGCCGCCTTCGGAGAGGAGGGGAGCCACTGTTGTGAACTGACTCCGTTCAGCAGCACAGCCTGAGTGAAGGCAGAAGCCGAGAGCACTGCTCGCTCCTGACGCGTGCCGGGGGCACTGGCCTCTGTCAGACCGCTCGGTGCTGGAGCAGCGAATGGTCAGCCTGGCGAGTTCCTCACGGACACGGTGTGGCTTGTGAGAAAAGCAGTTGAAGATGACTTTTTAAAAGGTGGTAGTCATTTTAAAGAAAGATTTATGTTTTTTAACTTGAAAGAATGTTAGAAAGTCTTCCATCCACTTGCTCACTCTCCAAATAGCTGCAGGAGCCAGAGCTGAGTGAATCTGAAGTCAGGAGCCAGGAACAACTTGTGGTTCTCCCAGATGCCTACAGGGACCAAACGGCGTGAGCCATCCCTCCACTGCCTTCCAAGGCTGTGAGCAGGGAGTTAGATCAGGAAGTGAAGCAGCTGGGACACGAGCCGGTACCCTGTGGACTGCCGGTACCACAGGCGGGGCATTCCAGAGCCCCCATATGGACTGCTGGTACCACAGGTGGGGGATCCCGGAGCCCCCATATGGACTGCTGGTACCACAGGTGGATTACTGAGCCCCCCATATGGACTGGCAGTACCACAGGTGGAGGATCCCGGAGGCCCCCCATATGGACTGGCATTACCACAGGCGGAGGGTCAGGGTTGGCATGCCATGTCAGCGCGCCAGCCCCCGCCATCATTCTTTAAGTGAGGACAACAGGAGGGATCAGATAGTTGGGTTGTCATATCAGCAACGTGGTTTCAGAGCAATTGGAGACGCCAGTTGGACATTCAGGTAGGCGTAGATCTCCGCTGCCTAATGATTCCCTCTGAACTGTTACGTAATGTTTTACTCCTACTATTATTTCCACCATTATAATTCCACTTTGGTTTAGGTCCTTGTTGTTCTTACACCTTTGCAGTCTGTTTAGCTCCCACCATGAGGGGAGAAATAGGATTTTCTCTTACCTTTCTTTTTTCTAAATAGCAGAATCATTGTGTGGGTGTGTGTGTTTAAAGATTTATTTATTTTTAATGAAATAGCAGATCGGGTATATATAGGGAAGAAGAGACAGAATTAAGCAGTGGTTAAGGACCCAGTTGCTCTGCTTCCTGTCTGGCTCCCTGCCACTGTGCCCGGGAAGGCCAGGCTGCTGCCATCCCTGTGGGAGTCAGGTGCAGTTCTAGGATGTCCATTGTTATTTTGAGCATGTGACTTGATGACTTTTTATAGCGGAAGCTCTTTGTCGACCTTTTGTTTTCTGGGAAGAGAGACCGTGGCTTCAGGTTACCAAGGAGTCCTGAGCAGTGTCACTGGTTGTCTCCTGAAGTCTGTTTAGCGTCTAGGAGGCGGCCGTGGGCTGTGTGCTGTGCAGCCTGTCAAGCTGAATCCCCCGCGGGAATCCGTGGCATGAAGTTCTGCTTCCAGCACCCAGCTGGCTTCCTGCTGCCACACACACAGCCTAGGAAGCAGCACACAGGGCTGCTGGCAGTTGGGGCCCTGCCTGGGGCAGCTGAGAAGCCGCCAGCCCCAAGGGCAGTGGGCATTTGGTTTTTTTCAACATTTGCTTTGAAAGACAAAGGATGAGGCGGGAGAAAGAAATCCTTCCCAAGTGGCTGTCAGAAACTATATCGGATTCTGGCACTTGAGTGGCATGGGCCGTGCTGGAGCTGGTCTGGAGACGGATCAGCCAAGACTGGAACTGGTACTCCTAGCGGACCCTAGTGCTGCAGGCAGCGGTTATACCGGTGCCACAGTCCCAGCCCCTGTGTGGGCATTTGAAGAATGAGCCGACATGAGGAAGAGTTACCTGTGCTGTATCGCTCCCAGCCGTGTGGATAGAGACCATAAATGCTTCTGACAGCATGTTTTTACTATTTAATTTTCAGGGTATTTTCGCTAAGGTAATTGTGCTCCATGCTGTACTAGAGAAGGAACGTAGCATCCGGTCCTCCTGAATTGTGCGTTAGTTCTGTGGATTGTGACCCCGCAGCTCCTGCTTCTCGACTTGGGAGCCTTCAGCCGAGGGACAGGAGGAAGGGTTGGCTTGCCTGCTGCGTGGGGCTGCTCTTGGTGGCGACGCTCCTGCTCACGTTGAGAACGCGTGTCGGGCAGAGCAGGTGCGAGGCTCGGCTGGCGGGGAGGCTGATGGGAAGCGCCCGCTCGGCTGCGATCTGCACCCTGAGCCAGTAGCGGCCAGGGGGCGAGCGCTGATGCTGCTCTTAGTTTTGATCATGTGGTGGTACGTCTGATTCACTGCATATTCTTTTAGAAAGGATAATCTGTAAGGAATAAGCAAACACGGATTTTGTTCATGACAAATGTGTTCATGTGGCTTTTCTGTGAAGCGATATGTTACAGAAATCTTTTTCATTCTGAAACGCAATGAAGAGTACAGTTTAACACAGTCCTGAAATGCAGTCTTTTTGCAAAGTAATTACATGTTTGTCCAAGATACCTGTCTCTGGGTAATTTTATAATTATAGCTTTAAATAAGAGGCAGATGAATTTGAAGGAGCGCAGGGAGCTGTGTTGATGACCTCCGGCTCATGGTGGCCGAGGGAGTGGTTTACGGAGGGGAGACCTCAAGTACACTGTCTGTCCCGATTCTAACTCATTCCCTTAAAACCTTCTTGTGCCAGTTTAAGGTCTTAGTAATTGGCACTTCAGAAGGATTCAAGTCAATTTGTGCTTCTATTGTGCTTCTATAAAATCTATTTTTTTTATTGTAAAGATTGATTGATTTTCATTTGAAAGGCAGATTTTACAGAGAGGTCTTACTTCTGCTGATGGACTTCCCAAAAGGCCTCAACAGCCAGAGCTGATCTTATCCAAAGCTGCTTCTCAAGGCTGAGGGTCCCAGCCCTCCTCCACGGCCGCCCTGGGCCACAAGCAGGTGCTGCTGGACCAGCCGGGCACAGACCGTGACCGTGTGAGGTGACAGTGCCTCGGGCCGGGACTTTGTCGGCTGGGCCCAAAACCTTCATTTCCATTTCATTAGCTTTCTGCATGGTGTCTAGTTAAATTAAGAATTAAATCAACTTCCGTCACCCACCCTTTTAACTCTCTTTTTGATCCATGAATTTTGTCATTGTCAGTATATTCTGCAACTTATACAGCTTCAAACAGAAAGAGCTGATTTAATTGTGCAAGTAGTGTGCCATCTTGTGGAGGATTGTGCAACAAGCAGTCTCAATCACTCTAGAATCAGATTAGAACTGAAAGTGAGCACTTAAAACAAGTGTTTTGGTGTGTTAAATGGTATGAACACATTGACATCTGTTAACATTTCTGTGTTTTTTTCCTGTGTAGATTTATGCTGCTGTACGTAAGGCCTCTCAAGTGTGTTCGGTGCTGGTACCAAGCTGGTGCATACCGTCCACCAAAGAACATAGGTTGAATTTTAGTTAGGATGGTTTGACATGGTGTCTTAGAATGAAGCTGGTCTGGCATTTTGAACACAGACTCCTGTTGGCTGTAATTCCTCTTGTTCACTAACTCTTCCTTCTTAGTTCTGTGTGATGCAAGTTTACATCTTGGCATACTCAGGTCCTCTATGTGGAGTTGAGTTCCAGGTGGGCATTTACCCTGGTGATTAAGACACTTGTAAGAGCACTGTGGCTGGCATGCTGGTACGTCACGCTTATCCTCTGCTCTGTAGTGCCCACATCCCATACGGGTATCAGTTCATGTCCAGGCTGCTCCATTTCCCATCCAGCTCCCTGGGAAAGAAACAGGTTGGCCCAAGTCCTCAGGTCCCTGCACCTGCTTGGGAAATTGAGAAGAAGCTCCAGGCTCCTGGCTCCAGATCTGCTTAGCTCTGACCATTGCGGTCAGAGTGCCTCAGTGGATAGAAGACCTTATCTCTCTATTTCTTTCCTTTGTGTAATTAAAAATTATTTTAAATACATTTTTTAAAAGCTAGTTGTAGTTAAGACCACTTGTATCCCACATTGGATAGCTTTGTTCAAAACCTGAGTAGATTCCTGCCAGGCAGTCCCCGGGAGGCAGCAGTGATGTTTCCAAGTGGTTGGTTCCTGTGCCCACATGACAGAACTTGGCTCTTGGCTTGGGCACTGGCTGAATGGAGTGTTTATCTGCTAGTCCTCTCTGCCTCTCAAACAAATAAATAATAATAAACCTTTCCATCATCTGGCTGTCTTTCTCTCTGTCTCGCTCTCTCTCTAACTACCTGTCTCAAATCTTTCAAACCTTATCTTTATAGGGCTGGCATGTTGTGTGTGGATTAAGACTTTACCTTGGAAGCAAGATCCACTGTAGGCACCAGTTCATGTTCTGACTGCTCTGCTTCTGGTCCAGCTCCCTGCTAATGCCCCTGGGAGGGCAGGCTTGAGTGGAAGAGGCCAAGAAGAAACTCCTGGCTTGAGGTTGGCTCAGCGCTGCCCTGTGCAGCATTAGGGGGAAACGAGCCAGCAGATAAAAATCATCCTGTCTTTCGGTCTCTGTGTATCTCTTTCAAATATATAAATAACACATTTTAAGGTTTGTTTATTTGAAATTTGCAGAGAGAGGGGGAGAGACAGAGTTCTCCTGTTCACTGGTTCTCTAGGCCAGGCCAGAGCCAGAACCGTCATCCAGGTCTCGCCTGTGAGTCCCAGGCCAAGTCCTCGGGCCGTCCTCCACTGCTTCCCCGGGCTGTCCTCCACTACTCGCCCGGGCCGTCCTCCACTGCTTCCCCGGGCCGTCCTGCACTGCTTCCCCGGCTGCACTAGCAAAGAGCTGGGTCGGAGATGGGCCGTGGGAATTGGAAGTGGTGCCAGTGTGAGATGCGGGTGCTGCAGGCAGCAGCCTCTTGGACCAAGCCACTATTCTGGTCCAGTAAATGAAATATTTACAAAGAAGAGGAAGAAAAGACCTTCACCTTCAGCTACTACTAACCTTTTTCTTGTCAAGCAGTTTAGCTGCTTTATAGCTATTACTTGACTTTGTTTCCTCAGTCCCCTTGAGTGGGTATTCCCGTCCTGTGGAGGTGAGGAGCCCTCTGACGAAGGCTGCGCACACTGGCGCAGCCACGGACCGGCCGGCACCGGAGTGAGCTGTGCCAACCGCGGAGGATCAGTGTTACCCCCTTAGAATCAAGATTATGTCTCCTTTTTCTTTCTAAAGTATGTTGCTGATTCAGATCCGTACTCAGGAGTTATTGCATGAACATACCCTCAGGTGCTGGGGGACCGGCCTGGCCTGTGGCCTCTGCTGCAATGGCTCTGTGAGGAGGAGTGCTGTGCTCCAGAGCGTGTATCAAGTGGCAGACACCTGTGCGTGCGTGAACAGCTTCCAGCAGGCAGGTCGGCCGCCCAGCTGCAGCCCGCTGTCTCCATGATGTTTAAGCTTGCGCGTTAAGTAATACTTTCAGTCGTGTTGATTTCTACATAAGAATTCATCCCTAACATCTTTCAATACGTGATGATTTAATCAAGCATTTTGGGGGCTATACACTCTGGTGCATCCAAAGGTCTGTCTAGTCCTTTGATTTTCTGTTAAGCTTGAGTTGGGACCACAGAGCTTTTACGCACAGGAATGACATCTTGGCTCTGTCCCAGGGAGAAGCTTGCACTGTGCCAGATTTTATTTTGCTCAGCTCTCAATGAGGCTGTTGTGGAAATGTAGGTTTTCTTTGCTGTGAGAATTTATGCGTACAAAGAACATTGAGAACTCGGAGCCCATGAGGAGGGGTTATTACAGTTAATGAACCGGGGCAACCTTAGCCAGAAGGTGCCCAGAAAGGTCAGCTGCTCTGCTATTTTAGTCCAGTTGTCTTCATCTTCAGGTTTCAGAATCTAGCCATGTTAATTCCCTTTAGAGTGGAACTTTGACAGTTTTTAAGCCAGATGAACCCCCCCCTTTTTTGTAAAATTGTAAATGTCTGGATATAATTCTCTGACATTTGGGAAACAGAATTTTACTCGCTGGTGATAGTGGATTGTTCTAAGATATGACAGTTCTTAGTAGTTTGTCTATTCCACATTTCTACGGTGCCTGACATACTCTGAGTTCTGAATTAAGCGTGAAATTGGATACAGTAATGCTAGGGTTTTTGTTTGGCCTCTGTGTGGTGGTGTGAAAACTGTTGTGTATTTGTGTGCCTTTGAAGTTAGGAATGCTGTAATTCCTGATAGTTTCGGGTGTTCTCAGGTTTACTGTGTTTGAAGAAATTCACAACAGTGAAAAAACTCAGACTGCTGGAGAGCTCGTGACGCGTGCTTGCTCACCGGTTAGCACTACAAGCCGCGCTCCAGTGGGCTTCCTTTGTCCAGAGCGCAGGGACGTGTGGTGATTCCTCCAAGTTATCTGAAAAGTCTGGCAGAACTCCCTTGCCCAGCTCTGTGAAATGCAAGAAGTTCCTTAAATAATACTACAGTGTTTCCACATGCACTTGGATTGTAACCCCTCATGATAGGGGGAACACTTTGAGTCCTCAGGTTGCTGTTTAGGGTGTACACGGCCCTGTTGTTGGGAACAGTAACTAAGGAAGCTGCTGGGCTTCGGAAAGCGGGGGGTGGGAGACTTCTGGAAAGGGAGGATGCTTGAGGAGGGGACGGCAGGCGATTACACAAAGGGGGTTCGTGGTGGACATTATGTGTGAAGATCCATTATGGACAGAATGAAATCAGCTTGTGACCGTGATGGAGTTCATGGCTAGAGTGTGTATTTCAAAGTCAGAGTTAACAAAATCCTCAAGGGATCTACACACAGAGGTGGCTTCTTCAGAAATGACACGGTATGTGTGGGGAAACTTCCCCGGGTTGATTGGAATTATCAAAGGTAAGCATCACTTTATTCTGAACATACCTACCTTACGGAGAGCTTCAACCATTGCTTTCAGAATTGCGAAGGAGGAAAAAAAACCTGTAACGGTATTTCAAAAAACAGCCAGGTCTGTGTTATGCTCTTATACTGTATCATCTTACAATCTAAAAAACTACACAGGTCTTGGTAGTAAAAGAATATTGTTAAGAAACTGGAGAACGTAAACTTTTCATGACTTTTCATCACAGAAATTTTTAACTGGCTGCACATCAGACGCACTTGGGAGACTTCAAAGGTTTTAGCAACTAAAGATTTTGGAGTAGAATCTTGAAGAACACTTTCTACTTATCGTATTTTAACAAATCTCTGAAAATGGTGATTCCGCAACAACATTCCCTTATACGCGTAGTTAGGAAATACTAGCCTAATATACATTTTGACAAGTTACAAGTTTAAAAACTCATTTTAAAATTTATTTAGTTGTTCCTCCCCAAATGGCTATAGAAGTAACTGGCTTGGTCTGGTTGCCATTGTTTAACTTCTCCTAAAATTTCCTTTGTCTTTTTCTGACTTGTGTAGAGACCGTGTATTTGTTTGGTGGCTGGGATGGCACACAAGATCTGGCTGACTTCTGGGCCTACAGCGTGAAGGAGAACCAGTGGACGTGTATCTCCAGGGACACTGAGAAAGAGGCAGGTTTCGTCGGTGCCTTCTGGGGCTGGTGTGCATTCCCCTGTGGGCCCTGGGTGTGCATTCCCCTGTGGGCCTGGGTGTGCTCCTCTGTGAGCCTGGCTGTGCTCCCCTGTGGGCCCTGGCTGTGCTCCCCTGTGGGCCCTGGGTGTGCTCCCCTGTGAGCCCTGGGTGTGCTCCCCTGTGGGCCCTGGGTGTGCTCTCCTGTGGGCCCTGGGTGTGCTCCCCTGTGGGCCCTGGGTGTGCTCTCCTGTGAGCCCTGGGTGTGCATTCCCCTGTGGGCCCTGGGTGTGCTCCCCTGTGGGCCTGGCTGTGCTCCCCTGTGGGCCTGGGTGTGCTCCCCTGTGGGCCCTAGGTGTGCTCCCCTATGGGCCTGGCTGTGCTCCCCTGTGGGCCCTGGGTGTGCTCCCTTGTGGGCCTGGCCGTGCTCCCCTATGGGCCTGGCTGTGCTCCTCAGCGCTAATGGCACCAAGTAGCTCTCTTCTTTTCGTGTTCCTGTCACCTCTATTCTTCATGATTTTCATGAATGTTATGTCTTTTTAGTTAAAACTGTATGTGTGCTTGTGTGTACACCTGTGTTTCTGCAGTGGGAAACGTAGCTTAGGCTTCCGGCTTTGAGTTAAACAAATACTTGCTTCTAGGCTAAGAGAAAGTAGTCTTTGTTTTTTTAAATCCTTGTAGAACATTTTTTACTCTGTCCTTCTTCTAAGCTCTTTCAGATTATGAAGTGAAAACTGAGCTCCCAAAGCAGTGGAGTCCGTGAAGGAGGCTGACGCTGACTCAGCACTGTGACTTCCTCCTAGGAGGGAGGCTTCAGACGAACTGCTGTCTAATCCTTGGGCACTAGTTCTTGCTTACTTGTTATTTTGTTTTTCTGGCTTAATCATTTGGATAACTTTTTACTTTTTCAAAGAGATCTTGAAGTTCTGATTTCTTTGGCACAGTATATAAAAATAGTTGTCCCCGTAGAGTGTTAAAGTTTTGTTTTCTGAAATGATTATTTCTATGCTCCAATGTAAAATCCATCTAAGAAAGATCTATCTTATGTTCCTCACTGATTTCTGTCTTGACTGAGTGTATCTGTAATTATTCTTGCAGTGTGCCCAGGATTCATCTCTAATTCCTGCCTCTTAATTTCCACCAGTTGTGGCATCCCGTGCTGCATTTAAAATGTCTTTTCTGCCATTCCTTTGGCACTGACCCCAACATTTGGGTTTCTTAAATGTTTTGTTGGTGCTGGCATTGTGGTACAGTGGGCCAAGCCGCGCTTGTTATGCTGTCTTCTGGATCAGAGCACCAAATCGCATCTTCTCACCAGGCTTCCTGGTCATGTGCTGTGGACGCAGCAAAAGATGGCTCGAGTACCTGGCTCAGTGCCCCCGCGTCGGGACCTGCGGAGCTCGCGGCTGCTAGCTTGCTCCTTGTCTGACGTTAGCTTGCTCCTTGTCTGACGTTAGCTGTTGGGGTTGTTTGGCGAGTGAACCCACGGGAGGAAAATTGACTCTCTTTCTAGCCCCTTCATAATCAAATCTTTAAAAAAATAATTGCACTTTTTTTTTGTCTTCAATGTTGATACCTAGTGCATTCTTTATTTTTCTTTCTTTTTTAATAAGATTTATTTATTTTTATTTAAACAGCACATTTTAGGGAGCGAGAAGGAGAAAGAGGCTTCCCTTCCATCTACTGGTTCACTCAGAATGGCTGCTAATGGCTGGAGCTGAACCGATGCGAAGCCAGGAGCTTCTTCCTGGGTTCCCCATGTGGGTCCAGGGGCCCACGGGCTCGAGCCAGTCTCTGCTGCCTTCCCAGGTCATGTGCTCAGCCGGAAGTGGACTGGTATCGGGAAGCTGGGACCCCTGGTGGAGGATAAGCTTGTTGGCCTATGTGTGCCACCCCCTGCCCTGTTTGGCCGCGGGACAGCTCTGCTGAAGCTGTGGTTACCTTCAGTCCCTCTTTGAGTTGTCTGTTGCGCTCTGTTGTATTGCAAGCACCCAGAAAGCCGTAGGGACTTGGCGACAAGCATTGATGGGCTTGTGAATCTGCACGTGGGCCGGCTACTTCTTTTCATTGTAGCTCACGTCCTTGTTGGGGCTGGCCTCGTTGAGACTGCTTGTGGCTGTGTTTCTTAAGGCTGTGCAGTGCTCTCCTGGGGCAGGAAAAGCTGTGAGAGTTCAGTAGACGTGAGCAGTCTGAGATTTGCTTCTTCTAGCAATGCATGTCCGTAAGTCAGTTTATGCTAGGGTAGCCTAAAGGGGTATTTAGAGTAGAAATTATAGCCATAATACCACAGATTTTCTACTTTATTTCATTTGTTTATAATAAAACTTCTATTTTATTTATTTGAAAACTAGAGTCACAGTGGGGAGGGAAGCAAGAAAAAGGGAGAGATCTTCCATCCACTGGTTCACTGCCCATCTGGCTGCAGTAGCCAGAGCTGGGGGATCCGACGCCAGGAGGCAGGAGCTCTGTCATGTCTGCCGCATGGCTGCCAAGAGCCCAAGGACTTGGGTTGCCTTTCGCTGATTTCCTGGGTCATTAGCAGGAAGCTGGAAGGGAAGTAGGCCAGCTATATGGGATGGCAGGATTGCAGGAGAGGGCGAGCTCAGTTACAGAAAGAGAGACCTAGAGATCTTCCATCCGCTGCTTGGCTCCTCAGTGCCAGTGACAGAGCAGGGACGGGAACTCGCTTCGAATTTCTGCTCATGCTGAGGGTCCAGGTACTTGAGTGTTACTGCTGATTGGGGAAGTGCACAAGCTGGCTGGGGACTGGACTGGGGACTCGGGAGCCGCTTTCCAGTTAAAGCATGTGGGCAGCCCGAGTCACATCGTTAACACCAGTCACCTGATGGTGTTTTCTGTTCCGGCGAGTCTAAGTGTGTTTGAGGACAATGTTTTGTGATTTAGTCCGGACTTCCGTAGCAGAGGGAGGGAGGCTGTGAGGATGCTTGTCAGAGACGTGCTTGTTGCTGGAGTGATTTCAGTGTTGTCACCATAAAGAACAGATTTCAGATCACCTTCCTAAAGCATTGCTTAGATTCAAGAGGTTCCTTTCTGTTCCTATTTTGTTGTGAATTTTTGCATGAGTAAATGTTGAGTTTTTAAGCTTGATTTCTTTGTTTGAAAGGGTTACAGAGAGAGAGGGAGGAAGGCGGAGGGCTCTTCACCCGCTGCCTCACCCGTAGGTGGCTGCAGCGGATGGGGGACCAGCCCGCGGGAGGGGCTCTGTGCAGATCCCCACCTGGGCGTCAGGGCCCAACGCCTTGGGTCTCCGCTGCTTTCCCAAGGACACTAGCCGGGAGCTGCTCAGAAGTCCCAGACCAACCCTGATGGCATTCTGGTGTCGCAGGCTGTGGGTGGGTTCGAGCCTGCGACATCGCAACGCCAGACCTGACTACTTTTTTATGTGTTTTGTATGTTATAATTCTGTTTTCCTCCTGTTGTCCTGTGGATGTAGCAGGTCACGGCGGTGCAGTCAACTTCGCATTCCTGGGATAAATCTGTGTTCGTTATGAAGAATTCTTTTCATAGTCCAACACATTTTATTTGATGGTGTTTTCTTAGATCCTGGTTGTATCTCTGTATATTACTCTGATGACAGGATAGTTAACTTTATATGCAAACTGTAGCCTTTTCATTCCTCTATTCTTTGACCTACTTTCTGTTTCAACCTTAGACATTCATTCTGAGTTTCATCTTAGTCAAAACTAGTATTTTTTCTTTTGTTTCTTTTATCTTCTGGGAAAATTAATGTTGAGTAGTGAAAAGCACACAGGTTCCGGAATGACTGCGTGGCCTGGGTTTGGACAGACAGCCGGGAGTGTGAGACAGTGGCAGTTTCCTTCCGAGTGGGAAGCAGGCCGCGCAGGCGCAGCAGTGATAGGGGCGGAACTCCAGGGGTTTCCTTCCCCTTTAGCTTTTCAAACTCAGATTCTGTGCTTCTGTTCAGGAACTTCATGGTTAGACTTGAATGGGGATTTAGCCACTTACTCTGCCTGTGGTCAGTGGTCCCAGTTGATCTTCCACCATCCTGAGGGTCCCTGGCTCAGCAGAGTCCTTACATAATGTCAAGGAAGGATGCAATTCTTTTTTTTTTTTTTTAATTTTTTTTAAAGATTTATGTATTTATTGGAAAGTCAGATATACAGAGAGGAGAAGAGACAGAGAGGAAAATCTTGTGTCCGATGATTCACTCCCCTAGTGAGCGCAACAGCCGATGCTATGCCGATCCGAAGCCAGGAGCCAGGAACTTCTTCCGGGTATCCCACGTGGGTGCAGGGTCCCAAAGTTTTGGGCCGTCCTCGACTGCTTTCCCAGGCCACAAGCGGGGAGCTGGATGGGAAGTGGAGCTGCCGGGATTAGAACCGGCACCCATATGGGATTCTGGGGCGTTCAAGGCAAAGACCTTAGCCGCTAGGCCACGCCGCCGGGCCCAAGGGTGTAATTCTTACTCTGCTGCCTGCAGCCTGGCAAGCTCCAGAGGAGACCTTCTCTCCGGGCTTATGTGTCCATAGCTTTTTTTGAAAGGGGAAAATTTCAAAGATTATGTTATAGTTTCTTCTAGTTTTCAAATTCTTGGAGTCCCTGTTTGAGCTGGATTGATACAAGAAATATAAAACTGTTTTTCAAGACCAAACGTGTCTTCGGAGGAGCTTGTCGTGTGATGGGTGACTGTGAACACAAATGCTGAGGACCCCAGGCAGGGTGTGCTCGAGGGTGTCCGCTGGAAGAGTGCGCGGCGCAGAGAAACTGGCGCCTTCCGGGCAGCCTTTACGCGTTTAAAGATAAGGTTTATATAGTTGCATTTCCAGCTGCTTTTTTTACTTTCCTTAGATTTGAGCGTACCGCCAGACTTATAGTTTATGTGCTGAGTTTCTGGCAGATCTTTGAAAGAGAAATGGCAAAAAGGAACGTTTGGCTTTGCTTTTTGTGACCTGATCTGCCCGTTCCTCTTTGTTTCACAGAATGGTCCGAGTGCCAGGTCGTGTCATAAAATGTGCATCGACACCCAGCGGAGGCAGATCTACACACTGGGGCGTTACCTGGATTCCTCCGTGAGGAACAGCAAATCCCTGAAAAGTGACTTCTATCGCTATGACATCGACACGAACACGTGGACGCTCCTAAGTGAAGACACTGCGGCCGACGGGGGGCCGAAGCTGGTGTTTGATCATCAGGTTCGAGGCACCCTTAAATGCGTGGTGGAGTTAGAAGGGATTCTGGGCTCAATGTACACATTCATTACACCTCTGCCCGCTGGTTTTGTGCAGAATGAAATGTCAGGTCTCAGAATGTAATTTTAATTTACGAAATTTTTAAAGACTAGTTAGGACAATATTAGAAAAAGCAAATTCATTTTTATGATAAATATCTAAATCATTACAGCTTGTCCTTCTTACACTATTTTTATTTGATCTGCATGGAAGAAATTTTAAGGCAATTCATAATGAATTTGAGAATTTAAAATCTAGAGCTTTTGTTTTAGTCAAAAAATTTTAATTTCTGTTGTTCATTTTAGTTATAATCAGTTCATCGTAAGCCGAGATAGTAGTAAGACTTGCAGGTTAAGCTCAAGCTCATCACCAGCTGCAGTCTTGTGGGACAGGAATATTGGAAGGTTGGTTTTGTTTTTTTTAACCGTGATGTGGGTGTAGCTTTCTTTTTTATTCCACACTGTCTTTGTCATAATGTCTTTGAATACCTACTGTGGATCAGTTCAGTGTAAGCCAAGCAGTCGTTGCCTTTAATACTGCCGGCACTTTACTCTGTTCAACCCATGTCCTTTTTTTTTACAGAAAAAGAGCTAAAAGATGTATTTTGATGAATACTGCCTTGTCTGGTACTTCAGAAGATAATGCCAGAATTATAGCAGTTTAACTTGGAATTCAGATCTCTGAAAGGCTTGACAGATTTTTATTTTTAAATAATCTACTTGTGATGTTTAGATTAGTGGAAAATGGTGAGGAAAAGATGAGTGTGTTGCTGGTAGGGAAGAGGCTGCGTGTTCTTGGCGTGCGTTCCATACTGAGCTGAGAGCTGTTCGCCTGCGCATTCCTGTGACAGGAACGTGCTGCTCATGCAGAAATGCAGCATCTGCAACATCTGCACGTGACGTTGCTAGGAGGTCATCGACGTCCTTGTCCCAAGGATGCTGGACTTCTGTGGAAGATACTGTTGTATTTATTTTTATAGGTTAACAGGAGAAAGAGGAGTGCAGGAGTCCAGTCCCCGGAGCACAGGCAGAGTGCCCGTGTTTGCTTCTTTCAGATAAGAGGACCTTCTGTGAAGTGCTGCTTGTCTTTCGGCTGGATCGGTGGTATTCAGGAACACTGATTTCGTTTTTAGCTCTGTGAACTGGAACAAGCAGCGTGATCTGCCTTTGGTTTGACTTCCATTTCGTTGCAGGAAAGGTGTAGTTAGAACCTTCTAAGAATGTTCATTGTGATGGATCTAATAGGTAATGCTTGTGTTGTTTTAGGTTATAGCTCCATGCTCAAATTGAAGTAAAACATTAAGAAAGCTAAAGGCATGAAGACATGTTTCAAAGTTTTCTGGCTACTTTGAATTTTAACATTTAAGATTGAAAGACTTTAATATACTGAGAACAAAATGGTAGCTTAGTTCTCAGAGTGTCTGTGTGATTGCTTTGTGTGATGTTTTCAGAAAGAATGGCAATCAAACAAAAGTTTTTGTAAAAATGTACACCAGCCACATTTTCAGCAAAATGAATACCAGACAAAATAAACAACTCCCAATTCTTTCTGAGTTTAGCCAGAAACAACTGAAACACTCAACATTTGTATTGAAGTCCACAGTAGTACAAAGCAAGAACTGATAATGTGTGGAGCTTGGCTGATGTGTGTCAGCTTGAAGTGCCCAGAAGGGACAGCACCGTTTTCTAGAAAATGAAGGAAGTACCATAACAGGGGGAGAGTGGCTCCTTTTCCAGGCCTGGAAGGAATTGGCAGAGCTCAGAGCTTCAGGAACTTCTAGCCAGAGTCGGTTCACAGGGGCACAAGATTGTTAACATCAGAACTTAACGCAAGAACATCCCTGTTTCATTAAAACTGCCGTAAGATTATCTTGTCCAGAGAAGTTCAACTAACTTACATATGGAAAACTAAAATGCTTTAGAGAGATATGCTAAGGAAAGTCAATAAAAAGAAAAATAATAGGACTTTTCCTTCATTAAAAAAAGCATGTGAAAATTATATTCCAGAATTCTAACAGGAATGAAATGATTTAATTACGCTTGAGACTCTGAAGAAAATATCGCAGTATCAGTTCAGGTGCGCAGACGGTGTGGCCCGGCGGTAGGAGCCCGTTAGCCCGGGCCTGATAGAACTCAGGGGGTGTGTCAGAAAAATGCCCTATGACTTTCAGAAGTAGTAAGGACCAGATAGCAGAGAGGTAAGAGATTTTTAACAAGGTTAGCCTGAAAATCATAGGATAGACGAACAAGACACAGCCAACATACATGGAATGGGAGACATTAAAGAAGAAAATCCAGTGTGTAAAATTAAAGCAAAGTTTTTTGAAGAAAGACTGTCCCACATGTTGAGTGTGCACATGACAGTCAGGGAGAATTAGCCCAGTCGTCTCTGAAGACGTCCATTACTGATGTCAGGTGTAAAACGTGAAGAGACGGGGTCGGTTGGCCAGTCTTCCGCCTGCAAGCACTGACACCCCATATGGGCCAATTTGTATACCACCTACCCGCTTCCCATCCAGCTCCCTGCTTGTGGCCTGGGAAAGCAGTGGAGGACGGCCCACAGCCTTGGGACCCTGTACACTGTGTGGGCTGCCTGGGGGAAGTTTTTGGCTCCTGGCTTTGGATCAGCTCTGCTCCAGCTGTTGTGGTCTCTTGGGCAGTGATCTTTCTGTCTCTCCTCTCTGTAAATCTGCATTTCCAATAAGGAATCTTAAAAAAAGGTAAAGAGACAACTTTTGAGCAACTAGACAAAAAACCACGTTGCCTATAAGACAGCTGAGCAGACGCTGACATCAGATTTCTGAATCTAGAAGGTTTTCAGGGAATGATGGCATGGACCAGGCGTTCTGTGTCTAGCGCAGTTGTCCTTGAAGTGTAAGCGCTTAGGAATTGGCTGGAAGAGGATGTGAGCCAGCCGGGAAATGGCAGGGAAAACGTAACTTGAAAATGGAAAAGCTCCGCTTATTGGTGTTCCGTGTGGTTGGTAATTTTCGTTGGCAGGATGAACATGTGCACCCACTGTCCTGCCCGCCAGCCTGTGAAAGACAAGACTCCGTTAGAATACATTAGCATTGAAATCAAACTGACCTAGCACGTGGGAATCCAGCCCGAAGAACACAGCCTAAAGGATTGCTGCAAAGTGTGGGAAACAAGTTTTTCTTCTTGTTACATCTAAGAAACTTTATTTATTTTCTATTTATTTAGATTTTAAAGACTAGGACAGAAAGATTTTCTGCCCGCTGTTTACTGCCCAGGGGGCTACAGCCAGTTCCAGAAGCTTCCTTTAGGTCTCCCATGTGAATGCACTTGGCCAACCTTCCAGTGCGTTTCGCAGACGCGTTTGAGAGCTGGATTGGAAGTGGGGCAACCAGATGTGATGCCAGCATCGCAGGTGGACATTTGGCCTGCTAGCCACAGTGCTGGCTGACCCACATGTTCTTTCAAATAGAAGTTGAGTCTTACTCTCTTAGCAAAAGGCTGTTTTCTCACGTTTGTATGGCAGTGTGTGATTTTAAATTGAAAGAATGAAAACCAAGGTTGGCTTTGAGCATGAATTGCCTATGTTAATTCAAAGAAAATTAGATTTATGTGTTGTCATTTTAAAAGAAAGTTAGTTCTTCAGACCGTAGAAATCACTCTAAAGACTGCTCCAGGTTTATTCTGTGACGTCCTCTGAGGACTGTGCAGCCTGTGTCAGCCCCCCTCCCGCTGTGCTGCTGTCACTGCGAGGCTTGCGTGGACTAGAGAAGGGAGCTCACAGGAGAATCCAGAGGACTGCTCGCCCATCAGGTGTCATCAGTGGTCCCTTTCAGGGGTCGGCACCACGCGTGTCTGCCATACGCCTTGGGAGACCTGAAAGCTCTTTAAGCACTTGGCGTCCCCGGGAAGGGGAGACCAGAAGGGCATTCAGAAATCCGCCCTCTGCGTGCTGGGTGCGGAGCCCTGGGAAAGGACCATCCTATGATAATGATTTGCAGTACTTTTAAGATTCTTTTTTTTTAAGCCTATAAAACTTGGCACTTTAATTTCATTTTAGAACCTGTGAGAGGAGCAAACTAAAGCTGTTCAATGTGTTGTCTCACGGGTAGATGTGCATGGACTCCGAAGAACACATGATCTACACTTTCGGTGGCAGAATCCTGACGTGTAACGGCAGCGTGGACGACAGCAGAGCCAGTGAGCCGCAGTTCAGCGGCTTGTTCGCTTTCAACTGCCAATGTCAAACCTGGAAACTTCTCCGAGAAGACTCCTGTAATGCTGGGCCCGAGGACATCCAGTCTCGGATAGGACACTGCATGCTGTTCCACGCAGTAAGAAGATTCTGTGCACTGAATTCTGTTACTTTTGTCATGTGTGTCTTTGTAAGAAAAGAAATGGTGAAATCAAGTTCCTTAAAGGTCAGAACTGTCCGTTAGAAATAAATATTTAATGTAGCAATGACAGAAGTTAAAACTTCCTTTTACAATGAGTGGTTAGTTAGGAGATTGTTCCCCTCGGCCCGATGCTCGCCCCGCGGGGCCCGGGCCGCTCAGCCTGTCTTCCGTGGCTCCGTGTGACCTGCCTCCGTCTGTGCCCTCTCCGCTTCTAACTCTGCCAGAATTAGGACTGTTTTTGTCTGTTCTTTTTTTCCTCTCTGCTGCTTTCTGTTAAGTACAAAGAAGTAAATATTAATTTTGCTAGAGTTAAGAATTAAAATCTGTTAGCAAAACCAACATGCAAACATTTCAAATGCTTTAGTGAAATATTGATCTTCACATGAATACAGTTTTTAAACAAATATTTTTAAACATACTCTTTACCCTTCATTTCTTTACCAATTTATTCTGTTTAGTTGTCTTAAGAGCAGGGAGAGAAAAGGATCTTCCATCTGTGTATTCATGCCCCCGGAGCCTGCACAAGCGGGCCGGGCCGGGCCGGCAGCAAGGCGCTCCTGCCGGCTCTCCCAGGAGGAGGTCGCCTGCTGTCTCCCAGCGACACTTACCCGACAGCCGAGGCTGAGGAGCGCAGACTTGAACCGAGCGCTCGGATACGTTGTGCCCAAGGCCTGTCTGTGACACGTTTGTTCTGTCTCAGAGAGAAACAGAAGCTCATGCAGTGACTGAGTGCTGTGTATTCACCCGTGGAAACAACTGCTGCCTGCTTTCACTCAGCATCCTTCATCACCGTGCTCTCTAAATTGAGTCTTACATTTTATTTTGCTGGTGCGTTTTAAAGCAGAGACCAGATACTGTGTGTCATTATAGGTACAAGTACTGTACTGTGTAGTTCTTAATAGATTAGGGCTTTAAAGACATAATTGCTAACCGGTCAACAAAATATACATTTTCTTAATTTCACTACATATTCAGTCTACATTTATGTTTTAAATAGTGTACTGAAAAATAGTTTCAATAGCTACTACTTTGAATTTAGAATCTGAAGGTCTGTGTATGCTGCTCGTGGCTGTTGGAGCTCTGAATTTGAGCCCCTAGCACTCCCTCTGTACCGTTCATTTCCCTGCATGAGCACAACTTAATTGCTTGCTTTTAAAACGTGAGCCATTTGTGTTCTGGAACCTTCTATACTTAGATTTTTAAAAGAAGGTTTGTTTATTTCTATTTGAAAGGTAGGGTTACAGTCAGAGAAGGAAAAGCCACTCCCAAGTGGCTGGCTAGAGCTGAACTGGTCCAAAGCCAGGAGCCAGGACCTTTTCCTAGGCCGTTAGCAGGGAGCTGGATGGGACGGCGAGCAGAGGCGATTCGAGCCCCGTGTGGGCGTGCTGCTGCAGGCACAGGTGTGGCGGCCCCGGTCTGAGTGTCGCACATCCATGGTGTTGGGGGACATATCCTCGGAGTTCACACTTTGTACAAGCTGATGCTTACATCTGGAGACTTGATTTTTAGATTCCCTTTTTTGGTGGGACTTGGGGTAAAGGTGGAAGAATACTTGATAGACAAATAGATTATAAGTACGAAGAGCTAGTTAATGTCTAGTTAGACTTGGTTATATTCCAGTGTTATCAGACTGATTTGATTAGTTATCCTATTTTCAGCTAACCTTTCACCAAGTAGCTTCAGTAAGCCTTGATATTCTTTGCCTAGATTTTGTTAGGTGAACAACTAAGGACTTTTGTAATATGATTTCTTCTGCATTTATTAAATGGATTCTACTATGAAAGAACTTATTAACTATTTGGTTACCCTGAACATAAAAGTACAGAATAGGCAGCATAAAGATTTGATTATTTTCCTTGATTTATTTTTGTATGAATGAGTTGAGACTCCATAGTTATCAATGAAGCTTGAAAGAGATCGTTATTAACTGATTGGATTCTCGTGTTTGGTTTTTTAGAGTTAAATGGTGCCATTATTCCTCGGTGTTCGGATTTCTCTCATATACTAAGCCATTAGACACCTTCCCCCACCATGTGTGTATCTTTTTTCTTTTTCTTTTAAGATTTATTTTATTTGAAAGGCAGAATTACACAGAAAGACAGACAAGTCTTCCATCTGCTGGCTCACTGCTCAAATGGCCAACACGGCCAAAGCTGAGCCAGTCCGAAGCTGAGAGCCAGGAGTCTCTTCTGCGTCCCCATGTGGTTGCAGGGTCCCAAGAACTTGGGCCGTCCTCGCTGATCTCCAGCCGTAAGCAGGGAGCTGGACTCCAAGTGGAGCAGCCGGACAGGAGCTAGCGCCGTCGGCTTCACAGGATGGAGAATTTGCATGTTGAGTCACGGCACCAGCCTCGTGTGTGTATCTTTTTTAAAGATTTATTTATTTTTATTGAAAAGTCAAATACACAGAGCAGGAAAGACGGAGAGGAAGATCTTCCATCCGATAGTTCACTCCCCAAGTGAGCGCAACGGCTGGAGCTGAGCCAGTCCGAAGCCAGGAGTCTGGAGCCTCTTCCAGGCCTCCCACGCCGGTGCAGGGTCCCAAGGCTTTGGGCCGTCCTCGACTGTTTTTCCAGACCACAAGTGGGGAGCTGGATGGGAAGTGGGGCTGCCGGGATTAGAACCAGCGCCCAAATGGGATCCCAGTGTGTTCAAGGCAAGGACTTTAGCCACTAGGCTACGCTATTGCGCCGGGCCTGTGTGTATCTTTTTTAATAAGACACAAAAATTAAGTCATATGTTCATATTGATAAATTCAATTCAGATTCCAAGATTTTTAAAAATCTAATGTCTGATTTTTGTCTTTGCAATAATAAAGGCAATATTCAAATCTTTGAGTGCTGTTTAAGAGTAGTTTCCGATTTATTTTCTGTTTAGAATTTAGTCTGCTATGAGTGGATAGAGTTTTTAGAAAGTTAATTTAAATTACTAGAAATGCTGCTTCTTCAAATGGTCATATTTTTATATACAGATTTTGTTTTCACATTTCAGGTGTTTTTGCTTTATTTGAAAACTTAATGCTTTTACGCTAAAAAAAAAAATGCGCGTGACTCCAAGTTAACCCTGCTCTGAAAGGCCTTGCCCCGCCCTGCCCTGGCCGAGGTAGCTGGCCAGCGGATGGGACTTTGGCCTTGTGCTTCCTGCTCACACACGCTCAGCATGGCCCTCTCAGGCTGGCTCCCGCAGCCTCTGTCTCCAGCAGAAGCAAACCTGTGCTTGGTGTTCTGCGCGGTGTGTAGTGAGGCTTCCTTCTCTTCCTTCCTCCACTTGTCCCTTGGTTGATGAACTCCATCATATCACTGCTTTTAGGGTGGACATGTCAGGGTTCGTAATGAGTTGGGATGCCAGCTTTCTGTGTTGGAACGTGTTGTTTGGTGCGCGATCTGGCTGCTGGGGGACGGGGCACCAGGAGTGATCCAACCAACCAAGCTTCTCTTTCTCTGTTTCTGTCTCTTTTAAATAAATTTAAAACAGTACTTTTTTAGGGAGTTAATTTTTTAAAAATTGTTTTGAATTCTTTTATCAAAGTGACAACTCCAGTTTTTTTTTGTTTGTTTTGTTTTGTTTTGTTTTTTTTCAGAAAAATCGTTGCTTGTACGTATTTGGTGGCCAGCGATCAAAGACTTACTTGAATGATTTCTTTAGCTATGACGTGGACTCTGATCATGTGGACATAATATCTGATGGAACCAAGAAGGATTCCGGCATGGGTAAGGGCGTTTCATTGATTTTCCACTCTCGTGTCTTAACTATTTTAAAGAGAAAGCCATATTCCACTTGTCTTCTTTTTAATTACTTTTAACCTCTTTTAAAATCATTTCTGTAGTGGATTAATTCTGAATAAAAGGAAGGAAACGGTCAGTTTTCTACTTAAAAAACATGAATTGTTATGACAGGTTTCTTCTGGTAATAAGAGTGTGTGAGCATCTAAAGCGGGGCCGTCCCCATGGGGGGACTTGGCAGAGCTGTTGTCGCGGAGGGCATGGCCCCCGCGGAGGGCGTGGTTCTGGCTGGCCTCCAGTGCCTTGCTAGGAGCAGAGGTCTTCCTGTGCTTGGTGACACCCAGTGATTGTACGTGCAGCGTTTCACAGATTGGTCCTTGTACTAATAGTCTCACTGTTGGCCAGTTTCTGCGTATTGACATGGCACAATTATTAATAGAACCCGATTACTCTCACGTGTCTCTATCATTTATAGCTTCACTCTACATGGCAGTTGTTTTGCCTACGAATACTGTAGGAAGAAAAATGGCTTTGATTAAGGACCAGTGATTTAAAAAACCTTATTTGGGGCCTGGCGCAGTGGCTAAAGTCTTCACCTTGAACGTGCCAGGATCCCATATGGGTGTCGGTTCTAATCCCGGCAGCTCCACTTCCTATCCAGCTCCCTGCTTGTGGCCTTGGAAAGCAGTTGAGGGCGGCCCAAAGCCTTGGGACCCTGCACCAGTGTAGGAGACCCGGAAGAAGTTCCAGGCTCCTGGCTTCGGATAGGTGCAGCACCAGCCATTGTGGTTATAAGGGGAGTGAATCATCAGACAGAAGGTCTTCTTCTCTGTCTCTCCTCCTCTCTGTATATCTGACTTTCCAATAAAAATAAATAAATCTTTAAAAAAAAAAAAAGAAAGAAAAGAAAGCAAATGGCTCCTGGTTCCTGGTCTAGCGCTGTCGGTTACAGTGTCTGGGGAGTGAACCTGCACGTGGACAGCTTCTCTCTCTCTCTTTCTGAAACTGTCTTTCAAATAAATAAAATACATCTTTAAAAACAAAAGAGCTATTCTGACTTTGTGTTAAATGACCAGGAGAAGGATGGCCGTAATTCCCCTGCAGTCCGATGTTGCCATCCTTGGGAAAGGCAGTGGGCATGATTGCATGTGGGCGGTGCCACAGTGTAAACGCACGCGCAGTGCTTGGCGGTGGAGCACGGCCGCCACGAAGGTTCAGCGTGCTCACAGCACAGCTTGCTGATGGAGCACGGGGGCTTGGCTGCTCGGGGCCAGAGTGTCTTCAAGAGAGTATATTAGTCAGCTTTACAAAGTAAGAAAAATGACAAATCAATGAAGTATACTTAATGTACTGTAAGATAACAGAGCTGGGATTTCAATGTTTGAGTGTAAAGAAAGATTTGTTTTTGTTATACCAAGCAACTTCTAGACTAACAGAAAGAAACATGACAGTGATAATGGCAGAAATCTAGTAGAAAAATTCAGTGTAATAAGTCAGCTTTAATGGGCCTGATGCATTAGCGTAGTGGTTAAAGTCTTCGCCTTGAACGCATTGGGATCCCATATGGTCTCCAGTTCTAATCCCAGCGGCCCCACTTCCCATCGAGCTCCCTGCTTGTGGCCTGGGAAAGCAGTCGAGGACAGCCCAAATTCTTGGGACTCTGCACCTGTGCGGGAAACCCAGAGGAGCTCCTGGCTTCGGATTGACTCAGCTTTGGTATTGTGGCCACTTGGGGAGTAAATCATCAGACGGAAGATCTTCCTCTCTGTCTCTCCTGCTCTCTGTATATTCGCCTTTCCAATAAAAATAAATAAATCTTTAAAAAAATAAGTTGGCTTTAATGATTATTATTTGAAATTTTTTTAATATTATAATTTTTAATTATAGAATTTGCAAAATTGATTGTTACAATGCCATAGTCATGTTCATGGCTAATTTTGGGGCAAGGAGGCTGTGGTAATTGTTCTTTTTGCTCAGTTTTTTTTTTGTGTGAATATGGAAGGGATTATATGAATATTGTAGAGAATTTTAAAAAACAAAATGGCCCACAAAGCAGTGCTGTGAGCCACCCAGAAAGAAGGTGCACAGATTAATGGCTTTGGTTTTTTGAGAGTTATTTGTATGAAATTCAGCAGTTTTATCTTCTGTTTTAATTTAAAACCCACAACATAAATTTTATCGTTGTGGTGCCACACTGTCATGAACCATGGGTTTGAGCGGGAAGGACAGAGGATCCTTTCCCTAATTCAGGCTCTAGTGGACGTCCAGGTCAGGCTTACCACTGCTGTCTTACATCGTTCAAGCTGTAGTTGTGCTCAGTCTTTTTTCTTTTTTTTTTAGATTTATTTATTTTTGTTGGAAAGGCAGATTTATAGAAAGAAAGACAGAGGAAGATCTTCTGTCTGATGATTCACTCCCCAAAATGGCTGCAGTACTCCGTCATATCACCAGCAGTACTCCGTCATATCACCAGCAGTACCCTGTCATATCAGCAGCAGTACCCTGTCATATCACCAGCAGTACCCTGGCATATCACCAGCAGTACCCTGTCATCACCAGCAGTACCCTGTCATATCAGCAGCAGTACCCTGTTATATCACCAGCAGTACCCTGTTATATCACCAGCAGTACTCCGTCATATCACCAGCAGTACTCTGTCATATCACCAGCAGTACCCTGGCATATCACCAGCAGTACTCTGTCATATCACCAGCAGTACTCTGTCATCACCAGCAGTACCCTGTCATATCAGCAGCAGTACCCTGTCATATCACCAGCAGTACTCCGTCATATCACCAGCAGTACCCTGTCATCACCAGCAGTACCCTGTCATCACCAGCAGTACCCTGTCATATCACCAGCAGTACCCTGTCATATCACCAGCAATACTCTCTGTCCCAAACCATTTGATTCTTGGAAAGTTTACACTGCACATTTACATGTGTAGTCATAGATCTGAATTTGCATGTTGAAGCTAAGCTCCTCCCGTGTCCTGTGGTGCAGACACTAGGGACTGTCAGGCCCTCTCCTCGTCTTAGTGTAAAGGTTCTTTGCAGATCAACCTCTTATTAAAGGTTCACTAAATGGAAGGAGTGGGCCCCACAACATTATGACCATAATTCGGGATGTCATTTATCTCCTTCTGTTATGACACATTTATGCTCAGCCTTGTCTGGGATCTGGGAAGTGTTTCCAGGAGCCAAGGGCCCTTAGCAAAGCAGCTGTCACTGGACTTGCTGAAGGCCAGATGGCCACCATCCAAGTTCGCAGAAGTACAGTGTGAAAGACCCACCAGAGGGGGTCCTAGGGACCAAGCAGAGAACCGCACCTGGCCGGAGCACGTACCTGTCGGCCTCAGCTTCAGTCTATGCTAACGTTTGTTGCAACCCCTGCTGGGAGTCCTGAAGCCGGGCTGCAGCTGCCACGCTGCTTGCTGTGTGGTTTCAGATACCTTCCTGCTCCCGCTGCCTCCAGTGTCAGCGGCTGGCTTGCTGCGCCTTGGGTGAGGACCCCGATCTGGGGGCTCTGCAGCAGCATTGCCACTTGTATTCCTTTATTTACTCTTGGTGTGGTCCTAGATTCTTTTTATTTCTCAAAATTTTGAAGGTCTTTATTATATTCTAGCATTCATTGTTACTGATTTAAGGTCTAATGTCAACTTAATTTTCATTCCCTTGTGCACTACTCACGGCTTCTTGTTGTTTAACCATCTTGGGTCCCCTGGACGCATTCTTTTGTTATCCAAATCTTGAACCCTGTCCGTGATGCCAAATCTAAATGGAGCGGACAAGGTTTGGGGTTGGAGGAGAGAACGTTTAGTCGTTTGGCAGATAGAGGGTGATAGAACCAGGGTGTGCAGGCTGCTGTGCTGAGTGAGCATCTTCAGGGGCTTATGAAGGGACCACAGAGAAAGCGGTGCCGCCTGATGGAAAGACTATGTCCTGGGAAAGCAGGGGCCAAAGCCTTGGGACCCTGCACCCACACCGGAGACCAGGAGGAAGTTCCTGACTCCTGGCTTTGGCTTGGCTCAGCACCGGCCGTTGCACTCACTTAGGGAGTGAATCATTGGACAGAAGTTCTTCCTGTCTCTCCTCTCTGTATATCTGACTTTGCAATAAAAATAAATGTCTTTTTTTTAAAGATTAGGCTAAAATGTATGCATATATACAAGTGTATTGTGTATGTATGCATAGAAACGATTGTTTTGTGTGTATACACATACTTTTATAATACATATTCTACCAAATGCATTCTGATAACTTTTTAAATATTTCGGATGTATGGAATAGGGTGTAAAAGAAACAAATTTAAAATAAACAAGGAAAAAAATAATTACTGGATTGCTTGACCTCTAAAAGTAGAAAAACAAAAATCAAGATGAGTATTGACTAGCACCACCTGCCATGATGTTCCAGATTGGTTTTAAAATTTTTCTTCAGTTTGATACTTAGCTTTTCAGCATGTTTTTATTTCTTCATAAGTAAAACAATTATTTTTAAACAATAATTTAATTTATCTTAGTTCATGACATATTGTGAAGTAACTTGAGTTGATGAGATATACTTTCAAAATTTAAAATTCTAGCCATTCTAAATAACAATGATAAAAAAATGATTTATGGGCCCAACATAATGGTTTATTGGCTAAATCTATGCCTTGCAAGCCGCAGGATCCTTTATGGGTGCTGGTTTGTATCCCAGCGGCTCCTCTTCCCATCCACCTCCCTGCTTGTGGCCTGGGAAAGCCTGGGAATCCTGTATGGGACACCAGGAAGAACTTCCGACTCCCGCCTTCTGACTTTTGATTGGCTCAGCTCCGGCTGTTGGCCGCTGGAGGAGTGCAGCACCGGGCAATCCTCCCTCCCTTTATCTCCTCCTTTCCCTATATCTGTCTTTCCAATAAAATAAATAAATCTTTAAAATAATAATTTATATTATCATATCAATATTTTACAAATGGCTTTAATGTAGAGTGGCATTACTGATTTAATGGATTACTTAGGATAATGAAACATTTACTCTGGGGCATTCAGGTTATTCAGGAAAATGGAATGTCATCTTTTTCTATTTTGAAAAGTATGGCTTATCATAGATTTTTTTTTTAAGTTTTGCTTTTTATTATCATTTTATGATACAGTTCCATAGATCATGAGATTTCCCTTATTCCCTTCCCACTTCCCTTCCCAGTGAGTTTCCCTGTATCATTACTATAGTATAGTTGTCATACACAATCATATGTCCATCATTGTGGGCATGGACAGTGGCAGAGTCCAGCATCCTATTGTCAAGATACAGTAAAAAATTTCATTGGGAATCCATCTTTGTCTGGAAGTAGAGATGCATACTGCATTGTATCCTCACATCTAGATGAGATAGTCTCCATTTCACAGTTACTGAACATCCCCTTAAATGAAAAGCCACAAAACAAAATCAACAACAGGAAGAAAAATAGAAATTTACAAAGCCATAAAGTTAAATAACATGCTACTAGATATACAGTAACTGTAATGGAGACTATCATATCTCCTTAAATGAAAAGCCACAAAACAAAATCAACAACAGGAAGAAACAAAAGAAATTAACAACACCATGAAGTTAAATAACATGCTACTGAATGACTAATGTGTCGCTGAAGAAATGAAAAAAGGTCAAGAACCTTCTTGAAGAAAATGTTACTGTATTATCTATGAGTCATTGAAGAATTTAATCATGAGAAAGTATTTTGAAGAGAGGAAACTAATAAAAAAAAAGTAAAAATCCGTGAGATATAGTTTTTGTTGGTGAGATACTGTGGTACATCTACTCCATGGAATACTGTTCAGCTATTAAGAATGAAATGCTATTTACAACTAGGTGGTCCCAACTAGAGACCATTATGCTCAGTGAAATGAGTCAGCCACAAAAGAACAAATACCATATGTTCTCTCTTATCTAAGCAAACCAGCATGGAAAGTGTAACTTCAATAATCCAATCCATACTGTTTTGTGTTTGTTTGTTTGTATCCCATGTGTTTTGATGTTTTTTATTTCAGTTTTGTTTATTCCAAATAATTTTTCTCTTGTTGAATTCATCACTGGCTCACGGGTTACACAGTGCCATCATTTTTCCCAAGAGACTTTTGTGTTTCCTTTTTGTCACTCATGTGTTGGTTGCTCAGTGGCGTGTTTTCATGGTGCTGTAATTTGTTGTTGTTGTTGTGGCTGTTCTCATACCAGTTGTTGACCTTGTTTCATGGCTTCTCAATTATGGAAGCGTGTAATGATGGAGTACTGGGGTCTGTCACATACAGATGTGGGGGTATAATGGAACGTGCATCCCTGCTTCCAGATGAAAGATGGATTCCCAGTGAAACTGTTGGACGTGTGTAGACAATGGGATGCTGGACTGTCTGACATTGTCTGTACCAACAGTGTCGGGGTACATTTAAATAAGAGACTGATAGAATTATGATTCCTTATGAACGACTATACACCATTGTGATAAAATGGAAAAAATCTGTCAGGGTGTGGGAGTTTTGAGGGGGAATCCCAGCCTTTATGAAATTGTACCATATAATTCAAAATTCAAAATAAAGATATTATTTAAAAAAGATCAGCACACCAACAACCTAGTTATCATAGATTTTTAAGTGATTTTTGATGTATCAGCAAACCTGTGTTCCACTTTTTTGGCAAAATTTTGTTTTTTCAATTTGAAAATTGAATATTTTAATATTAAATTAGGGCTGGCCTAGATAATAAGTCAGTTGAAGCTTTACACTTTCTGCCTTGTTCCTACTCCTGCCTCACAAAAATGGTTTTGTTGTGTTTTACTCTTTCTTGTGGTTTATGTTAATTTTTTTCAAAAAGAAGTTGTGAGTAAAATAAATTTTAAAAAAAGTGATGTTCAGTTCATGGATTCTGTCTGAAGTTGAGAGAGTTGTATTTTTTTGAGATTGTACTATCACGTTAATGTGTGGATTTTAAGAATAATCCGATTTTAATATCCACACGTGATATTTTAGGCACTTGCAACAAAATGGTGGCCAAGCGACTCTGCCCCTGCGGAGCTGGCGTTGTCGGGCAGGAAGGGGGGAGGCTGGACTCTTGCTCGTGTTTGGCACACTTGTGCAGAGTTGGAAGCCAAGTGCTGAGTGTGAGCACAGAGAACGTGACGCGCATGTGCTGTTCGCAAGAGTTGGTTCTAACTTGCTGTCTCGTGTTTCTCCTTGGCTTTTAGTTCCCATGACAGGGTTCACACAGAGGGCAACAATTGATCCAGAACTGAATGAAATACACGTCCTGTCGGGGCTGAGCAAAGACAAAGAGAAGAGGGAAGAGAACGTGAGGAATTCCTTCTGGATTTATGACATTGTGAGGAACGGCTGGTGAGCATCCTCGTCTGTCTCAGTGTGACGTCATTGGAGATTGTTGGTCTTCTTAAAAGATAAATGAGGCTGTTGACTTATGACATTATACACTTAGGGGTCGGCACTGGAAAAGAAACATTAATGCCTGTATGCGGCATGACCGTCATTACCTGAATTTTTCCTTTGAGTTTTTCAGTTAGTTAATGTTTCTGGTTTGGAAGTGGAGAAAATTGTCTTTCAGTCTGGGTTCTTCTATCATGTGTGAGCCTAAGAACAGTGTCATTAAGTGTCCTCAGGTTTGTGTGTGATAAAACGCAGAGGTTTGACTGAAGCCTGGGAGATGTACTGTTCCCTATGACCTCGCGAAGCTAGAGCTGCGCGCTTGACGTTGAGAAGCACTGGCCCCGAGTCGCCAGCTCTGGGCGTCCGTGTGCTGCAGAGACACTGCGAAGGGCGTTACTCAGTCATGGAGAGCGACCCTCCACAACTGAGGACTTGGTATTTTTAGACACTGTCAGAATGAGATGAATCTGCTGAGTCTCTTCTGAGTCGGCCGGTGGCATCTCCTTTAACCTTGAGTCTGAACCCTGTTGAGTGCTGCTTGCCGCGTGTCACCAGCTGGATCGGGCTGTGCACATTGGGAGGAAGCGCGGAACTCAGCTGTGACCATTTGGGTTGTTCCGGGAGGTGACTGGTGTGGCCCTGATGGCTGCTTTCTAGTAGCGATGCAGTGTGCTATGGACTGCCTTGCTGCGCTTGGGTTGACATTGTGACTAGTTTTCTGGGATGGAATTCTGAAACTCAGTGTCTTGCAGGTCTTGTGTATATAAGAATGATCAAGCTGCAAAGGAAAATCCAAGTAAAAGTCTTCAGGAGGAAGAGCCATGTCCGAGATTCGCTCATCAGCTTGTGTACGATGAGCTACACAAGGTATTGTCGTTGCACTGACTGGAGCTTCCCGTGGCACGCAGTCTGAAAGGGTCCACGTGTGTGGGATTGTTTTCATGTAGGTTTGAATGAAGAGCTGGTAGTCAGTAAGACTTCTCCATTAAAATTCCTTTAAAAGATTAGTGTTTTTGCATAGATAATTATTGACATTTTTTTTCAAAATCAAAAACAGTGGCCACTGCTTCGGTTGATCAGTGCATGTAACATAACCTGTTGCTTCTATAGTGTATAAGCAGAAGTTGCATAAGTGCAATTTGTTGTTGCAGTTGTACTTTTAAGATTGATTTCTTTGAAAGCCACAGTTGGGGGAGGAAAGAGATCTTCTCTCCGCTGTTTAGTTCCGCAGTGGCCACCGCCGGCCTGGTCTGGAACCAGGACTTTCTGCCAGGTCTCCGTGGGCGCAGGGCCCAAGCCCTTGGGGCGTCCTGTGCTGTTTAGCAGGCGTATTAGCAGGGGGCTGGATCACGAGTGGAGCTGGGGCTTGCCCTGGCACCCATGTAAGACTTTGGCCGAGTGGCTGTGCCACAGCGTGGGAAAGTACAGCTTGCCACAGCTCTAAAAGTACATTTTTTTTATTTTTAGTTTATTTATTGACTTGAAAAGGCAGAGCTACAAAGAGAAAGAATGGGAAGGGAAATGAGAGATCTTGCTTCCATCTGCTGGCTCACTCCCCAAATGGCTACAACAGCCAAAAGCTTGGAGCTAGGAGCTTCTTCCAGGTCTCCCGCATGGGTGCAGGGGCCCAAGCACTTAGACCATCCTCCACTGCTTTCCCAGGGTTTATTAGCAGGGAGCTGGGTTGTTCTTGGGCCAGCCAGGCTCAAACCAGCCCCCATGAGGGCTGCTGGTGCTGCAGGTGGGACCTTACCCTCTGCACCAGAGCACTGGCCCCGCCAGCACCACGCGTGGACACGCAGACGCTGCAGAGCGTGGCCTGTGGCTTCCGTAGCATGCCGCTGCGACTGTCTCCTGGCATAATAAGGACCAAGTATAGCACTTTCTGGTTTTGCATTTTTGAAAGTCTTTTTTTAGTCTTTATTTTTTATTTTAAGGATTTGTTTGGAGTTCTTTTAGCTGACAGGGGCCGCAGACGGAAGGAGAAGCAGAGGTCTGCTGTCTACTGGCCGCAGCCCGATGGCCAAGGTCTGCTCTGTGCTGACCCCGCCATCCAAGAACTGTGTCCCGGTCTGCCACGTGGGAGCAGGCCCAGTATTTTTGCTGCCTTCCCCAATGGTTAGCAGGCGATTGTACCAGTGGCAGAGTGACAGGGACTGGAGCTCGCCTTGGATGTGGGTGCTGACGTCAGAAACGGTGGTTCCAGCATGGCGCTGCAGCACAGCGTCCTGCCTCTTCCTGCCTGTCTCCCTCCGTCTGACGAGAGGAAGTGATGGCGTTCCGGAGTGGTTTCTGGGAACTATTTCTCAGGAGACACTTGCTTTTTAGATCCATATTATAAATTCTTGACATTCTGATTCTTTTGAACTCACACACGATGTTGTTAAGTTCTGTGCTAGATAGTTTGCAATCTCAGTATTAAAAGAAACAATGGGGCCCCCAGCATGGAAGCCTGGCAGCAAAAGTCCTCATTTGGAACACGCCAGGATCCCATATTGGCGCCGGTTCCTATCCCAGCTGCTCCTTTTCCCATCCAGCTCCCTGCCTGTGGCCTGGGAAAGCAGTCGAGGACGGCCCAAAGCTTTAGGATCCTGCACCCGTGTGGGAGACCCGGAAGAAGCTCCTGGCTCCTGGTTTCGAATCAGCTCAGCTCCAGCTGTTGCGATATATCTGACTTTACAATAAATATATATATACATATGTATTTGTATCAAATCAAACCGTGGAAGTGAATAAAAGCCCTTTCTCTTAGAGCAACCCAACTCACAGAGTTAAAGAATTTCCAAAGTTAGGATAGAATTAATATTTTTATTGAAATTTTAAGAACTGTCCTTACTCTGCGTAAGGACGGAATGACATTAAGGTTCTAACGTAATGGTATAACTGCTCTGGCTGCTCTTCTCCATTTTCTCACATTCATCTATGGAATAGTAACTTTAAAATCATTTCACAAAGTATTCCTGTGCATTCAAATCTGGCATTTAGGCTAAAGCAGAAATGAAAATGTAAAAATAAGTTCTCCAGTTTGCTGTTGACTCAGTGATTCAGTCAAACATGTGTCAGTTTTGGGTTTTGTTTTAAGATTTTATTTGTGACTGATCGACATTTGATTAGCTTGGCGATCCTCATTGTCTGATCGTAAGCCAAGTCTGCCTCAGTTAGCGTCGTCCTGGCCCTGCTTCTGCTGTCCATCTGCCACTGTCCTTGTCCTTGTACTGATGGGATTGATTCTAGCATAAAAGGAAGTTACAACAGTACTTTAAAGCAAAATGGAAACTTGGGAAAAATCAATGGGCCTAGTGCTGTAGTCTAGTGGCTAAAACCGCTTCTTGCAACCACCGGGATCCTAAATGGGTGCTAATTCATGTCTTGGTAGCCCCACTTTCCATCCAGCTCCCTGCTTGTGGCCTGGGAAAGCAGCAGAGGACGGCCCAAAGCCGTGAGGCCCTGTCTGTACCCGCATGGGAGATCCAGAAGCGGCTCCTGGCTCCTGGCTTTAGACAGCCAACTCCAGCCATTGCGACCTCTCAGGGTGTGAATCAGCAGATGGAAGATCTTCCTCTCTGTCTCCTTCTCTCTGTAAATCTGACTCTCCAATAAAAAATAAATAAATCCTTGAAAGAAAAAAGGAAAATCAAGAGAAGCCTTTAGGGAAATGCAGTCGTGTCTTTTTCCTTTTGAACATGAGTGTCTGGCAGAGTGACCTGTACCCACTGCTTCCCGGCAGCGCTCACTCGGCTTCCGTGGCTTCACAATCTGCTTTGTTTTATTCATTGTAGGTTCATTATTTATTTGGTGGGAATCCAGGAAAATCTTGCTCTCCAAAGATGAGATTAGATGACTTCTGGTCGCTGAAGCTGTGTAGGCCTTCGAAAGATTACTTGCTGAGACATTGCAAGTTCCTCATTAGAAAACACAGGTAAAAATCACGCGTGGCGCTGAAGTCAAGGTCAGCCGTTACTCGTCTCCCTTGTCCGCCTGAGCTTTCTCTGCAGGGGCAAGTGCTTGAGCTCTGTCTGTTTAGGGTGGGGCATTGGGCATTTTTGCAGTTCCGTTACAGGAAATATTTACCTCATTCACTGTGTTTGTAGTCAGAAGAATGGTGGGCGTGCTCGTCCCTCTCCTGGTGCCACGGCTGCCCAAGGCCACCTGGCAGTGCACGGCCTGCTCTGTCGATACCATCTACATGGCAGTACTTTTTTTTTAAGATTTTGCTTATTTTTATTGGGAAGGCAGGTATACAGAGAGAAGGAGACACAGAAAGATCTTCCATCTCCTGGTTCACTGCCAGAGCTGAGCTGATCCAAAGCCAGGAGCCAGGAATCAGGAGTCTCCTCTGGGTCTCCCATGTGGGTGCAGGGTCCCAAGGCTTTGGGTCGTCCTCGACTGCTTTCCCAGGCCACAAGCAGGGAGCTGGATGGGAAGTGGAGCAACTGGGATAGGAACCAGCACCCATATGGGATCCCAGCATGCGTGAGGAGAGGATTTAGCCACTAGGCTATTGCGCCAGGCCTCACATGGTAGTAGTCCCACTGTAGATTTTGTTAGAACAGAAAGCCGCCTCATGTGGAGTATATTCCATTCCAGCTGTCATAGACGTTCCTCGTGGGTTCTGATAACTCGAAACTTCTTCTTTCCATTTTTTAGATTTGAAGAAAAGGCTCAGCTGGACCCCCTGAGTGCGTTGAAATACTTACAGAACGACCTCTATGTGACTGTGGATCACTCAGACCCTGAGGAGACCAAAGAGGTAAAGGAAGGTGGTATACGGAAATGGGCTTTTCCAGACAAAATCGAATGTGTCTGGTGATTTGCTTGAGTGTTTTAAGAAAAATAGAGCATCATGCCATAACCAGTCCCACACGAAGTCTGACGCAACAGGCGCACATTTTGAAATGATCGCACGTGACTCACAGCAGATCAGACAGATCAGACGGTGTCTGAGATGTGGTCACCCTCACCTTGACCGTGGGGTGCCGATGAGTCCCTGCGGCTGTGTCCCTCGGGCCTCTCCGTGCTGACCGTGGGTCCTGGCGCAAGAGCAGACACCGGGCGGCACTGCACAGCACGGCACTCCACAGCGCGGCTTCCAAGCAGTGAGAGATCGCTTTCAGGTTAACTGGACTTTTAACAATGGACTGTTTCTTTTCAAGATTTGTTTATTTTTCTTGGAAAGGTAGATTTCAGAGAAAAGGAAATACGGAAAGATCTTCTGTCCGCTTGTTCACTCCCCAAGTGCCCATAATGGCTGGAGCTTCGCTGAGCCAAAGCCAGGAACCAGGAGCTTTTGGGGGGTCTCCCACATGGATGCAGGGCCCTAAGTGTTTGGGCTATCTTCCACTACTTTCCCAGGCCACTGGCAGGAAGCTGGGTGAAGTGGGGCAGCCAGGACACGCATCGTCACCCGCATGGGACGCTGGCACTGCAGGCCGAGGGTTAGTGAGCATGCCGTGGTGCTGATTCCAAATGAAAACACGTCTAGTCAAACCTGTGTGCTCCTGTGCGTGGGAATACAACTCCATCGCTCTGAGCAGAGCGGCTCAAGGAGGGCAGAGCACAACCGTCCACAGCTGACCGAGTCAGCCACCACCCGCCTGTGCTTGCCCGGAGTCCCTGCTCTCCGCCGGGAGCCGGCCCCCACTCTGACACGCACTGCACAGCCGGGCCAGGCAGGCATGGCAGGCTTTCCCAGAACAGCCCGCAGCACCTGACACACGGCCCTTCAAGTCCCAGTCCCTCCTGTCGGAGGGTCTTCGGGAAAAAGCAGCTTTGTGGGTCATAGCTCCTGAGTAGTGTGAGTTTTCTTTGCAGTGTCCACTTTATACCTTTTAAATTAGAATGTCGCTTTCATCCGTCCGTGGTGAGTGACCGAGGCGGAGCCGAGCCTTGTTAGGGAACCCGCTGGAGCACGTTGCCCCTGGGCAGAGACCTCAGGAAATCCTGTCCGTGACAGGCAGGGCAGCGCTGGCCTGCAGTTACCCAAAACTTTGTGATGGGTACTGCTTTCTTCCAGCAGGCCCTGAGTGCCACCAGCTGCTTTTCTGAGTGCTGTAACGCTTGCCTTGGTGCAGGGCAGGCAGGGCAGTTGTGTCCAGCTGGCACGGCTTCTCCTGGGCAGGAGCAGCAAGGTCCTGGGTTAGGTGTAGCGGCAGTGCTTAAGCTGCACACCCCGTGCTGTCAGGTCTTGACCCTGCCCCCAGTTCTGTGGTCCTGCAAGGAGCAGGGGGTGGGGAACGACTCAGCCTGCCACTCGAGCAGAGACCAGCTTCTGGTGGTGGGCCCTGGCATCACCCTGGCCTGGGGCCGTGCTGTAAGCGTTTGGGAAGTGAGCAGCAGGTGGGAGACCTCTGTTTCTCTCACTTTGCCTTTCAAATATCTCTAATCTTTTACAAAATCACTTCAGAGTCTCATGCAGAGGAAGGTACAGTCTGCCTCTGTTTTAATTAGAGAACTGTTAAAAACAGACTGAAAAGGAATAAGGATGAAGGCTGAGAGACTTGACAGAGACTGCAGAAATCTGAGTGAAGAATCGTGTGTCCAGGACCGGAGCCAGAGCGGTGGAATGCTGAGAGGCCAGCAGACGCTGGAGCCAGAGCGGTGGAATGCTGAGAGGCCGGCAGACGCTGGAGCCAGAGCGGTGGAATGCTGAGAGGCCGGCAGACGCTGGAGCCAGAGCGGTGCGGTTCTGGGAGAAGTTAGTGTGGACTGTGAACGACAGGAACTGAAGCTTTGGGGCCCAGAAACTGGAACGGTGGAGCCACTCTCAGCTGAGACCAACAGTTTGTGGCAGGGATCAGTTTAACCTTGTACGTGTTTGGTTTAAGATGTCTGAGGTTTTGAGGAAACAGTCCGAAATTTAGGGAAAAGGTCTAATAACACTTGGTGTCTGGCAAAGCAATAGGCCATGCATATCAGTGCAAGAAAAGTAACACTGGTTATTTCCTCATTCTTTTATAAAGTAAAATTATTTAGTTCCTTTATTCATTTGAAAGACACAGCACCTGGCCCGCAGTGATAAGCCTAGTGGCTAAATCCTTGCCTTGCATCTGCTGGGATCCCGTATGGGCACTGGTTCATATTTCAGCTGCTCCACTTCAATTCAGCTCCCTGCTTGTGGCCTGGGAAGGCTGTAGAGGACTGCCCAAAGCCTTAGGACCCTGCAGCCATGAGGGAGATCAGGAAGAAACTCCTGACTTCTAGCTTTGGACCAGCTCCTGTAGTACCGACATCCCGTGTGGGCACAGGTTCGTGTCCTGACTGCTCTACTTCTCATCCAGCTCCCTGCTGTGCCCTGGAAAACAATGAAAGATAGCTCAAGTCCTCGGCCTCCAGCACTCATGGGGGACCCAGAAGGGAAACAAGGAGACTCTCCTGTCTGTAACTGTCTTTGAAATAAAAATGTATCTTTTAAAAATGCTGTGTAATTGTATAATCACAGGAATGGTTTATATGCATCTTTTTTCTCAGTTTGACTTGTGTAACAGAGACATCACATGTTTTACAACAGCATAGATTTCAGTTTGGAATGAAAATGTACTATGCTAAAGTTAATGTGTCCGGAATTTGAAGTCTAGCAGTGTGTGCTAAATTTCCCAAATGAATGATTTTCTTCATTATTTTAGTTGTCCTCTTGTTTCTTAAGAAGTACATATTTCAATCAATTTTAAAAAGATAATTGCAAGACTTGGTCCAGTAGAAAAGCCAACACATTCTTTGGTTTAAATGTGGTGTTTTGCTCGCCATTAATTTGGTGAATAGGCCTAAGCAACATATTTGCTAAGAAATGGTCCCAGTTACAGAGTATTTCCTTCCGGTAGAATTAGACAACTAATCCTGTCCTTTTTTTTTTTTTTTTTTTGCAGTTTCAGCTCTTAGCTTCAGCTCTGTTCAAATCTGCTTCTGATTTTACAGCTCTAGGTAAGTGTCCTGGTCCAGTCTGTCCAGCTAACTGCTAATATTTAGGAGGTTACTTTTTGGTGTTAGATGCGCCGTCAGGGAGCTGTCCACCTGGACAAATGGAGTGCATCTGGAGTAGCAGGCAGTTTGTGCTGCTCTGCCGCAGCGCTGCCATCCGAGCATCCTCCTGCAGGTGGCTGATGTGTTTGCCGTTGCAGCAGTTGCTGCACTGTTGGGCAACAGCGTAAATTAAGTCGCATGGTGTTGGGTGCACAGACTGCGTTACTGATACGCGTTGTTGGCTGCATGGGTGTTCTTGTTTGTGTGTGTCAAGAAAATGGTGATGGAGTAGGCAGTGAGGTAAGTGGATTGAGAGCAAAGGAATTCTAATCAGAAACTAAAGGAAAAGCGACTCCTTGGTTATAATAGGTGTTAACAACTACGTTTATTGAGTATGCTGTTCTGGCTTGCTTGGGTTGCCATAACAAAATGCTGTGGACTCATGTCCTAACCAGCAGGTAACCAGCAAGTAACCAGCAGGCCAGGAGAGCAGTGTGGAGGTGTGGGCAGCGCGGGCTGGCCTGCCATCGCTGCGTGGCCTGGCGGCCTCTCCTCCCACAGGAGTCTGCGCTGTCTCCTGCCGCCGTGCGCGGGGCATGGCCGCAGCTCAGCCAGACTCCAGTGGAAAGGGACTCTGGTTTCTCTGTAGGTTTTCACTCAGGACATTTATGTCAGGAGAATTCATCCTTGGTAACCTTGGCATGTTTGTTGTTTCTTTTAACAAGATAGCTGTCGTTTGAGCTGTGGGACTTTCTAGCTTTGTGTTTGCTGTTATAAAATGCCATTGCACAGTTAATGTGTCAGCGCATGCAGCCTGGGCCTCAGAATTCAGCAGCGCATCTGTTTATCCGTCCTTTGCTGGGCTCAAAAGTAGAGTCCAGCAGTGGTATTCATTTTCCAGCATATGTATGTGAATACTATTTTACATTTCTTTATTTTTATCTTATTTGAATAGAGATGAGGACAGTATGTGAGAGATCTTCAGGCCTGAAGTCCACATTAGCTAGAAGCCAGGCTATAGCTCGGGTCTCCTGCTCAGACGGCAGGAGTTGCCGCTGGCTGCCTCTCCGGGCATCTGTCAGCGGGGCCACAGTGGGAAATACCCTTCCTGTCAGTACTAGTTTTTTTTTTTTTTTTTTTTTTTAAAGATTTATTTTTATTATTTTTTCATTGGAAAGGCAGATATACAGAGAGGAGAGACAGAGAGGAAGATCTTCCGTCCGATGATTCACTCCCCAAGTGAGCGCAACGGGCCGATACTATGCCGATCCGAAGCCAGGAGCCTCTTCCGGGTCTCCCACGCGGGTGCAGGGTCCCAAAGCTTTGGGCCGTCCTCTGCTGCTTTCCCAGGCCACAGGCAGGGAGCTGGAAGGGAAGCGGGGCTGCCGGGATTAGAACCGGCGCCCATATGGGATCCCGGGCGGCAAGGTGAGGACCTTTAACCACTTGCGCCACCGCGCCGGGCCCCAGTACTAGTTTTTATATTTGCATTTAAGTAGCAGGTTGAGGTGTCAGCTTGTTGTGTTGTTTTAATTGAGTTAGAAGGAAAGACAGAGGTCGTTTATCTGTTGGTCCACTCCCCAGATGGCTGCAGTGGGGGAGCTGAGCTGCTCAAGAGCCAGGAGCTTCTTCCTGGTCTCCCACGCAGCGAGAGGCCCAAGCACTTGGCCAGCCTTGCTGTTCCCCACGTGTGTTACTAGAGAACTGAGTGGAAGGTGGAGCCGCTGGAACACAGACTGATGCCCGTATGGGATGCCAGCACCACAGGCGGGAGCTCTAACTACTACGGCACTGGCCCCAAGCCTGATTTTTTAATTGCTTATCCCCTTTGTCTCCTAAAGGTGCACTGTACTTAAAAGAAAGAAGCAGAAAGCACATAATTCTGGTGCCCTTGCCTGCCAGGGTAAAGCCTGGCCGTGTCCCTTGGGGTGTGCGAGGTCAAGACAAGGGCAGTCCCGAGTTGGAGCTCTCACGTGTGGTTCCATCATGTCACACTCAGAGAAGCCTGCCAAGCTGGCTCCAGTGGGTGTTCCTGGACGTTCAGGGACTAGTTTACTAGTGCTCCGTGTCCTTGAACTTTACCAGCATGTGTCTCAGCCCACGGGAACAGGCAGAGCCCAGGTGCAAGCGCTTTAGGAAATGCATACTCTTCTGCGTTCGACAAGCCTCCTTCAGAAGGTTCGTAGAGAATAAATCGGGGCTGGCACCATGGCATAGTAGGCGAAGCTTTCACCCATAGCGCCAACATCCCACATGAGCAGCCACTTTCTGCCCTGACTGCTCCTATTCAAAAATCTTAAAAATTTTTTAGAAGAAAAATGAAATTAAAGATTCTCATTTTTATGCCAAAAAATTGAGATGCATGGTTTCAGTGCATGTTTCGGAAAGTTTCTGACAAACTTCCTGAAGTGCACCTGTGCTGCTTGTCGCAGAGCTGCAGTGGTGTGAGTCAGGAGCCCAGCATGCCTCTGGAATCGGAGTGCAGCGTGCCAGTCCAGGGCAACACCAAACTCACTGGCTGGCTTATTTTTATCCTTAAAAACAGGAATTTCCTGTTAGTAATTTAAATATGTTAGGGTGGTGTCAGCGATCTTACCTTCACCTTAATTCCTTGCTTCCTGTCAGTCTGTTTACTGCCAGGCTAACATCTTTTATCAAGAACCATTTGTTTCACTTAGATTCTAAATAAAGCTCAGCTTCAGTAAGAGCAGTACACACAGAAAGAGAAGTTTAGAAAAGGGACGAGTCCTGCTGGCTTTGTTCCCTCTGCCGTCTGAGACGGATCAGTGCGGGGACGGCGGGTAGGAGGCCGGAGGGCTCTGCGACCAGTTCCTGCATCTCTGAAGTACGCGTGATGTGAGCACTGCGAGTTCAGTGACGTCGTTATGAACGAGCCCGCACAGCAAGACGCTCAGAGCTAGCACGTTTTTTAAGAGGTTCCTGACAGTGAAATGGATGAGGAATACATACGGGCTTTATGCTTATTGTGATAATGATCAATTTCATATATTTTTTTACAAATAAATGCTTTTCCTAAAGCTTTATGCTTATTTCATCTCGCAGATATTTTCCAAACTTTGCAAAACAAACAAAAGGCACAGCCAAGATCACTGACTTGCTTCCTAGTACACTTATTTACTGATGTGTATGTAATGTTGGGAGAACCAAAGAGGCCGACTGCAGAAAGCAGCTAGCTTTGCAGGAGACGAGCCCTGGGAGTGTGTGGTAGCGTGGTGCTGGCTCACGTTCCAGCAGGGCTCAGCCAGGCTGCCAACGTGACGAGTTCTTGCTCAGTCCCGGAAAGCGTGTGTTCAATCCGACAGGCTGATTTGCAACTAAACGTGTGACGAACAGGCGAAATGGGTTTACAGAACATGTTGCCTTTCCTGGTCTGTACACTTACCTTGAGATTTTACAGTCCTTCTGAATTTCATAGCATTTTTTGTGCCTTTGAACTTCATACTTTGCTAAATGCATCAAGCTTAGATTTCAGGAAGATGTTTCCTTCAAGCCTCGTGTCTGCAGTCCACGGGCTCTTACTGTAATCGTTGCAGCATTAGAAATAGGAAGTAGAAATGTGCTAGAGGGAAAATGAAAGCTTTTGCTGTTTCTTTTTTACTCGAAGTAGGAAAGACCAGTTAGTCTATATAGGATGTTGGGCTAAAGTATTGCCAATAGGTCGGTTTCTTTTTTAGAGTAGTAATTGTCTTAAGACATAACAGTAGTGGTATAATAAAGTCTGATGAATATTGAGCATGTAGGATGGGGCCAGATCCTGCTCTGAGCACTTAGCAAGTCGTAACTCATTTAATTTCTGAACCAGCCCTATTAAGTAGCTATCATAGATGTGTAGCAGATGATCTTGCATATGAAGAAACAGGGACTCAGCAAGGCTAAAATGACATTTTCCACATCGAAGCTAGCGCATGGCGAAGCCTCCAGGGCCTCAAGGATCTCATTGTCAGTGGTTACCCTGTCTCCTTACTGTGCGTTTCCGGTTACACTATTTGTCTATTTATTGGAAAGTCAAATTACAGAGAGAAGGAGAGACAGAACGATCTTCCATCTGCTGATTCTCCCCAAGTGGCTGCAACAGCCGTAGATGAGCCGATCCGAAGTCAGAAGCCAGAGCTTCTTCCGGGTCTCCCACGTGGGTGCAGGGTCCCAAGGCTTTGGGCCGTCCTTGACTGCTTTTCCAGGCCACAGGCAGGGAGCTGGATGGGAAGTGGAGCAGCTGGGAAACAAACCAACACCCATATGGGATCCTGGCACATGAAAGACAAGGACTTTAATCACTAGGCTACTGTGCCAGACACAGCCTAAAACATTTTCTTTTGTATTTGAAACAACAAACTTGTAAGAAATGAAGTGAGAGGTGTTTGCTGCATGGTGGAGACGCTACTCTGAAGTGCCAGAGCAAATCTGGCTCCCTGGGGGCAGCAGATGACAGCTGAAGTGTTCGGGCAAGTGAACCACCAGAGGGAAGATCTCTATTTGCTTTTCAAGTAAAATAAAAACAAGTAAATAAAAATGCTTTAAAAATAAAGGAACATGTTGTTTTGGAGGCATTGTTTATGTTCCTTCCAGGAAATTGTCATCTTTGACAATGTTCCATTACATTCCTGGCATTTATAGAGGGGGAAAAAAATGGGGCTTAAAAATGTGTTCTAAATGAAATGACAGTCCAACTTGGGACAGTCTCCCTTAGTATGAGTCACAGTTAGGGAAGTCTTGATGACTGTGCTTCTGCAGAAGATGAGATTCAGTAGGGCTCTTACGTCTCAGCCATTCCAGAAAGGAGGAAAGCCGCTTACTTTGTCATCTGTATACCTTACAGCAAGCTCAGTATGCCAGCTGCTCTTAGGGTGGGTCATGTCACCGAGTGTCCCCTGGCTGGAGTGAACCTTCCTTTCAGAATGTCGTCTGCTTGCTGATGTCTCCCTCTGTTCTGCCATCCGTGTGCCAGCATAGAAGCTGGATACCGTAAGTGAGCAGTAGCTCCTGTGTGCTGGACGTGTGGTGCACACGCTGCTTGCTCACACTCAGTCCTCCGAGACTACTTCCAATTCTCAGGGCCTTCATGATTTTTAGACCATTTTCTAAAGACCCCTTTTATTTAAACTTCTTACATTTATATTATCCAAAAAATAATTATTAAAAAAGGGTATAATTTTCTCAAGGGGCGCACTAGCAGAGGAGAGGGGTCATCTTGCTATTATGCAATTACTGAAGGTGCCAGTCCTTTCGGTCTGTTTCATGGAACCTGCACAATAACCCGGTAGTGAACAGGATTAACAAAGATTTACAGCTGCGGACAAAGAAGGGCTCAAAGCCAGGAGGACAGGTCGGTTGACCTGACCACAGCCCTGGCAGCTAGTCCAAGTGGGAACCCATCAGTAGAGCCTGCGTGGCTTAGGTGTTTCCCGTTGTTCATTCTGTTGGTTTCTATGAGCTTTTTGTTTCAGGCTGAGTTTTAAACACAGTGGATGAGTTTCTTTTTTCTCTCTTTTTCACCAGGCTTTTCCGATGTGGATCACACCTATGCTCAGAGAACTCAGCTCTTTGACACCTTAGTCAATTTCTTTCCTGACAGCATGACTCCTCCTAAAGGCAACTTGGTGGACCTTATCACGCTGTAAGGCAGGTCAGAGAGACGCAAGCGCAGCAGGAGGCGGCCTGCGGCCTGTCCTGGATGGCAAGCTGGGCTGCCCTGGCTGAGCCCCCCTGGCTGAGCCCCCCTGGCTGAGCCCGTGGCAGAGCTGGGAAGGCATCTCCACCCTCACAAGTTTAATCCTCTTCTCCTGCCTGACCGCAACCCCCTTCGCTTCATCCTATCCCAGACTAGGCTAATAAAGTGAAATTGGTATACTTCCCATTTAAATACATACATATATTTTTCTTACTTTAACCTTCAAGAATTAATCAATATAAAGGAAAACAACTGGGCCGTTTACCCTGCCCTGACTCTCACCTTTCCTTTTTTGGATTGTGAAGTTGCGCCCGATGAACTACTCGGTGCTGAAGGATGTTGGGACTTGGGTGTTTGGCTAGCTCTCCTCTCTCTCGCCTTCCAATTTCACTTTATCTCACATCACACAACTGCTTGTAAATGTGTTGCTTGTTGCCGCGTAGACTTCATTCCCAGCAGGTGTGTAGTACTTGTGCCACGGTGGCTGTGTGCAGACGTGATGTGCGTGTCAGTGTTGTCACACATCAAGAACAGGCAGAGCAGAGAGCTCACACCTGCACTCTTTGCCGTAGAACAAAGAAACAAAATGCAGGACGGTCCGGGACGCCCAGCTGAGGTCAGTGTAGGATGTTTCTGTAGCAGACTTCTCAGAGTGGATCCGAGGTGCCCTCTGGCTCCAAGTCACAGAACCTGTAAGCTGAGAAGTGAGTTTGGAACCTTCAAGAGCCATTCCAAAACTCCCGAGCGGGAGAGCTGTGAGGTGTCTAGCCAGCGTGGAGAACGGTGAGCCGTCATGGGAGGCGACCTGCGGGGCTCGGGTGGAGGCCGGGGCTGTGTCCAGAGACCGCCCTAGCCCGCTGCCGGAGCTGACCTCCGTGCACGTCGGCTCCCTGCATCAACTTCTCTGCACTCATGTATTGACAAGTAGTGGTTTGTGATTTCTGCTGGTGTGCAGCTGACTGCACTTCACTTGGTACTTTTTTAAATGGAGAAAACTATTTTTTCATTGAATAAGAAGGAGGACATGACTGTTGATTTTTTGCCACAACTCCAAGGTTCGTTTTTGCTTTTGTTTTGTGCCGAAGACAGAGGTGCTGTGGTCTGCAGTTTAGGAAATCCGGCTGGTCTTCACATCTGCCCTGACAGTGAGCTGTCTGCAACTCCTCGCTACCGTGCTGCAAGCCAGCTCGGCACCCGCAGTGGGTGTCTGTCGGGCAGCTCTGCAGACGGAGCAATGCAGGAACTGGGGAAGGGAGAGAGGCCTGGCTCGCCGAGAGAAGTGTTTTTGCTAGTTTAGCTTGAGCCATCGGGGCTGCAGTCAGCGGGGATTTATTCCACAGGCATGCCTGCTGTGTCTGGAGGGTTCATAAGGTAGCTGTGCATATGCATCATGACCAGTTGATCGTACAGTTCAGTAAATACAGTTTACTTATATAATTGTATAGTTCCATAACACGATTCTCCTGGAGTAATGTTCCAGAACCAGAAAATGTCAGTCTGACATTGTCACCAGCCGAGTCTCATTTTGTGAAGATTGGTGCAGATCAGACTGGCAGGCTGACCTTGATTGGACTACATTGAAAAGCTCTGGTAAAACAGCAACCAGATGAAGCCTGCTGCCCTCTGCTCTCTGCCCTTTGCCCTTTGCCCTCTGGTCCTCGTGCTTCGTGACCTTCAGCAGTGCCCTAGACGCTCATTACTGGAAGGAAGCCCAGCTCTTGACCTCAGTGATTTTGTTTTCTGAATCACATCTTTTTGTTTTAAATATATGCTTTAAATAAATTTATGCTTCTTTTAATTTCATCTTCTCTCCTTTTGCTTAGGTAAAATTTTCTTCCTTCATTTTTTGGAATTTTTTTTCCCATTACAATGTTTAAATTGCATGGAATCCTGGGGAACCATTTGGTGTTAGCGAGGTGGGATTAACGAGGTGCAGCATCTCTCCTGTGGAGTTTGACGGGCACTGCTGGGTTGACTGCAGAGACGCAGTGCCCGTGTGTCCCCGACCAAGGTGCACTCGGTGAGAAACTGCAGATTTCCGAGAATTCTAGCAGTGTACTTAGATATTTAGTGCACTGTATTTACATAAACAAGTCATTATTTAGGTAACTAGGTATATATATAATTTCCTACTTAAGAGTTTTTTGATTTTGGTCCAGATTTGAAGATACCAGCTGACGGTTTAAACACTAACTGTCAGGACAGTTTGTTTGGTTTGATCCCTAGCTCAACCACTTTCCCGTTCTTTGTCCCAGTGAAATATATTTTTTCAATCAGAAATAAAGTAGATCTCTGATATTTCTTGCAGTGCCTGTGCTGTATGAGAAATGATCTGATTTGCAAGAGCCTTTGAGTGCATTTGCGATTTATCTTGTGGAATAACAGAAACCTCACTTGGTGTGATTCGCTCATTTGATTTATTAAAAGCATAGCACTCCACAGTAAAGGGGCTCCGACTTGGGTGCCTTCCTGTGAGCCAAAGCTGATAGTGTTAACTTTGTCAAGGCCGTGTTTGAGACTGAAACTGACCTGACCGTGTCTAAGAAGTAAAAGCTGCTACAAAACGACACCCCTACATCTTTTAAAATATAGAGCGTGGTGATTGGTTTAAAACTCTGTTCTTGGGTGAAGCACTACTGTGTCGGAACAGTGCCCAGGCCGCGAGCCTCACGTGGGCCCTCCAAGTGCCACTCAAAATGTAACTTACAAACTAGCTCGAGGCACCTAGCCACTTAGTGAGAGGTTGAGAGTAACCCAAAAACACTTCACAAAGAAGTATGTTCCTAATCTTCCTTTGTGAGTTGTATTAAATTTCGTGGTAATCACATGAGGGATTTGCCATGGAGCTGTACCTAACACTCAGGGAATGCACTGGGTGGTTGGGGTGATAGGACTTCCTGCCAAGTCTCTGCTTCCGTTCTGGACAATTCCTGAGCAGGTTACACTTTTCAAAACAGGTGAGAATTGGGGTGCCAGTGGTTACTGTGGGAGGGGAAAGTGTGTACTCTGCAGAGCGTAAGCTGGTCATTGTTTTCAAAAATGTGCCTTTCCAACCCTTTGTCTGTCGCAGTCTTAGGCCAGCGTGTAAGCTCTCGAGGGAGTTTTCCTCAAGTCCCCGTCTTTGATCTAGAATGTGCTGGCTGCCCCGGAAGCAGCTTGTCCCAGAGGAAGGGCATACTGTATCCGTTTAGGGCCATGACAGGTGAAATCTTTGGACTCTTACCTGAAGTATTTTTTGCTTTGTTTTAGTCAGGTAACACCTGCGGTGTGCGTTAGGGCCGTGATGACTTGGTTATTCCAGCTCAGAGGGACGTCTGCCGGAGGGACACGTTTTTAGGTTGGTTGAATCAATCAGGAGTCAGCTGGTCCAGCTGAATGATGCTCTCATCGCTATTGCAATATGTTGAATTTTGTTCACCAGATCTTTGTTTCTTTAAATGCTCTGTCAGAGATTTCATTTTATTCTTTGATCCTTCGTTTCCTCCTACTCACCAAGTAGTGTGACTTGTTTGTCTTGGCTTTTTGACTGAGACTGCATTTTGACTGTTATAATCATCAATTATTAGGATTTCTGTAGTGATGCTTAGAAACCCTGACTGCTCTGTTTGAAAAAAAAAATCAAAATCATTCTGGTACAAATATTTCTACATTCTAGCTGTTTATGATACAATTAGTAAAATTAAAAATATACATTATAGAATTAATAATTTTTGAGATATTGCAGTAAAAAATATTTGAATAATGTTTTTATTTGGGAATAGTGATAATTGCTGTGGCAGCCTTTTCTTTAAATAAGAAGTGCACCCACTCCCCTGCAGTGATGTCATTGCCCAGATGCCCTGAGACCTGGGTGGCTGGTTGGAGCCAGGAGCTCGGGACGGGTCTCGTGAGTGGGTACCATGGAGCCAGCCTCTATGGCTGTCACCTGCTGCCCTCTGCAGTCCTCCTGGGAGCTGGCCCTCAGGCATTGTGACTGTTTTAATCATAAGACAGAGGCCCATCCCTGTGGCAGCTTTAATCTTGATATTCTTTCCTAGCAAGAGGAAACATTGTCAAAGAACTGTTGGTGAAGACAGTTTTTATGAGAGCTCACCGAGTTCAGCATGCCAGCACATGTTTCCTCTTGCCTGTAGACTTTCATGGTACTTGTGAGCTATTTTGTGTCCCCACCTCCTATGAACAGCATTAATTTCCTATTGAATCTGGAGTTTGTGTTAAGAATTGATTTTCAGTTCCTGATAGAAATATTAGGAATATCTTCAATTACCATGAAATGATATCTTGTCTTCCTTTTATCACCTACTGTTCAAAGAGCCTCAGTGAACTGGTTAACATTTTCATGTGCTGTCTGTCTATGCGTGTCCCAGGCGTTTTTACTTGGAAGTATTAAACCTCAGGATTAGAACTAGAGGAGGAAAGGGAGGCAGGCGCGTTAGGTGTCTGAGCTCTGCCATCCAGATACCAGCCAGAGGAGGTCAGTTTTCAGTTTCATTCCGTACTTAATGAGTGCCCAGTGAACTGCAAGGGGGAGCTCTGAGTGGTGTGCTGAGCGGAGCTGCTCTGGTAGCCAGCTTGGGCATCGTTCTCATTGCTTAGCAAATCCCAACAAAGCCGCCTCGGTATCTGGCAGTGTCGTTTCTTCCGTGGTATTGGATTCCCTTTCTGACCGGGTGAGTTATGAAGGGGTGCTAGGCACGGTGCTTGAGCCACTCTGAGGGATGCTGCACCCCATGTGGGAGCCTGATCCAGCCCTGCTGCTCGTTCCAGCTTCTCATTGGTTGCCTGCCTGGGAATCGGAGTCCAAAGCTTCCAGGTCCAGCCCAGCCCTCGCGCATGGGAGAGCTCGTGTCTGTCTGCCTGTCATATATCAGTCTAAATAATAAATTAGATAGAAAGTTGGAACTTAATGTATGACAGAAACCCATACAGAAATGAACTGATGTTACTAGTTTCCATGCTTTAAACTTAATTGAATGGAATCCCAAAGGGTTCCGTTTGTTCTGCTTTGCGGAGTGTTGTCCTCAGGGCTTGGCATTGGAAGGATTCACTTAGGCTTGTTCCTGCAGTGCCTTGTGCAGCCGCGCAGCAGCTGTGTTGGAGGCGGTCTCTAGCAGAGTTCTGGCGGTCCATCTGTCACTGCTTTGTGGGGTGGGAGTGCGGGGCCCGTGGCTAGGGCCTGGCATCAGACCTCACAGGGAGCTCTGACGGTGTGCACACTGCCTTGCAGTCGCTGGGTCTCCTTCTGGAGAGGAAGGAGGGGACCGAGGACAGCGCTGTGTAGCTTTACATTTGTCATTGGAATTTTACACTCCCCAGTCACCCATGCTCGTGGAAGCACCAACTCTAGTTAGAAGACATGAAAGCCGTTATAACGCAGATCCCGAAGTCGGTGGGCCAGCAAAGGCCAGCAAATGTAAGGTGGGTACGAATGGCCTTCTGATAGGGAAGAAACTTTTCCAGATGCCAAGTGTGTCATCTCCTTGGGATTTTGTTTTTTCCTTTCCTAAAAAAGTGGCAACTGACCGTGACCACCAGCTTTCTCCCTTCATCACAGAGCAGTCCGTCCAGCCAAGCGCAGTGATTTCCTTCGCTAGGCAGTGCAGTTGGCCTGCGCAGGTGGTGGTGTGTTTGTTTTTGGGTTGTGTGCAGTGTCTTTGAAGTGAAGTAAATTAGATTATGTAGTATTTTATTACCTGTATATTCTTCAGCTCTGTTAACACATCACATAATAATGTGGCATTTCTCTGAGCAGATCTCAGTATGAAAGCCAGTGTACACCGGTGTACTTCCTTCTGAATGCAGCTCTCCCCACAGTTGGTACAGTTGAGTCTCTAGCTCAGCAGAGCATGGGAAGGCCAAGTTAACAATGTCTTTGCCACTCACAACCTTAGAACCAATCTTCTCTCCTGGTGAGGCCGTGCCTGGGCCAGCGGGGGGTCTCTGCAGACCTGCCTGCGTATGTGGACGGCTCCTGGTGAGGCGGTGCCTGGGCCAGCGGGGGGTCTTGCAGCACCAGCTCAGTTGGAAGCTGGAGTCAGACCTCCCATGGTCTTTAACAACAGCGACTGATTCTCGTGGTTGTAACGCGCTTGTCAGACCACCTCTGTTCATTAGTGAGAGTTTATTTTCTTTCCTTGGTTTCCTTACGTTACTAGACAACGTGGTAAACTGGGGAAGGGTTAAGGAAAGCGAACAGCTCTAGCACAGTTTTTGCTCCTTGGCTGAGCTGTAGGAAGAAGGCCCAGCGCGCCAACACATGCCCCTGCCCCCCGCCCTTGCTTCCCTGGACGCGCCGAAGCCGTCCTGCGCACGTGGGTCCCGTGTACCTGGGCTCTGCGGGAGCCGCCGGACTCTGGTCATTGCAGGTCTCATCCCCGAGACTCAACTGATGTTTTTAATTAAACCTCAATGTGTCTTTAAGGGAAAGGCTTGCATTCCCGAGTGACTTTATATGGCTGTCATTGAAACCACAAAGAGTGGACATGGTGCTGTTGAAAGGCCATGGAAGGTGGTTGTGGGGCAGACAAAGCAGAGCAGACAAAATGAACTTAACCACCAGCAAGGAGTCACTGGAGCTGGAGTCCCTCACCAGGCTTACGCAGATGTCTTTCAAAGCTGTGCTTTTCCTTATACCGGCTAAGCATCACAAGCTTGGCCCAGAATCGATCATGTTCTGGATGCGATCCTCTTGCTAGTGTGTGGAGGAAACTCCCCTGCCGGGCTTTGCTGCCCATGCCGTTGGGTTTGTGTGCTCGAGTCCCAGAGACGGAAGAAGTGAGGGTACCAGCTAGCTGGAGCGTG